TGAGAGAGCGAGCGAGCGAGTGAGTGAGCGAGTGAGTGAGTGAGCGAGTGAGTAGTGAGCGAGTGAGTGAGTGAGTGAGTGAGTGAGCGAGTGAGTAGTGAGCGAGTGAGTGAGTGAGTGAGTAGCGAGCGAGTGAGCCAGCGAGTGAGTGAGCGAGTGAGTAGTGAGCGAGTGAGCGAGTGAGAGAGTGAGCGAGCGAGTGAGTGAGCGAACGAGTGAGTGAGCGAGTGAGCGAGTGAGTGAGTGAGTGAGTGAGTGAGTGAGTGAGTGAGTGAGTGAGTGAGCGAGCGAGCGAGTGAGTGAGCGAGTGAGTGAGCGAGTGAGTGAGCGAGTGAGTGAGCGAGTGAGTGAGCGAGTGAGTGAGTGAGTGAGTGTGTGTGTTTGTGTGTGTGTGAATGCAAGAATGTATGGGTGTTAAACTGGATTGCAGCTGGAAGGGCATCCTCTGCATAAAACATATGCTGAAATAGTTGCCGGTTCTTTCCGCTGTGGTGACCATTAATTAATATAGGACTAAGCCGAAGGTAAATGAATGAATGTTTCATCGTCACATGATCTGATGCTCACACATCTAAAGAGATGTAAAGTTGTCAATGCTCACATTGTAACTGTTTGAATTAAAATAGTTTTCAATGGAAATCAGTTGAGTTCCAGCGCATTTCTGACTGTTTCCTATATTTACTGTATTTATTGACGTGTGTTCACCATTGCAAGCAGGTTTAAAGCTAATTTAACCAACATACGTAATTTGTGGGAAGTGTGTAGGATATTATGTAGGTGTAAGGAGTAAAAGGCATATTCTTAAATTCATTCATTCATTTTCCTTCAGCTTAGTCCCTTCATTAATCAGGGGTCGCCACAGTGGAATGAACCGACAACTTATGAAGCATATGTTTTGCTCAGCAAATGCCTTTGCAGCTGCAACCCAGTACTGGAAAACATCCATACACACTCATTCACACACACACACACACACACACACACACACACACGCACACACACACACACACACACACACACTACAGGCAATTTAGTTCAATTCCCCTATAGCTCATGTGTTTGGACTGTGGGTGAAACCAGAGCACCCAGAGGAAACCCATCCCAAAATGGGGAGAACCAACCCAGGCTCTTTGTGGAAACGTAGTCCCGCGGACATTTCTTGAGACCGCAGAATACGTCCTGGCGGGTACGCACGGCTGCAGTTTTGGTTTTTGCGAATCCGCGAGAGGCCGCTGTTGTGCGCTTTTTCGTTTTTGCATCTCAGACGCCTCTCGCGAGTGTGGTTCGCGTCCGCGCTGTTCTCGCGTGAACCCACCAGAGGCCGCTGTCTGACTGACTGGATGATTGACTGCGCAATCGGCCAACCCGCCCTCCTCCTTCCCTGAACCCAACCAATTTTACTGATCGACCCGCCGGCCCGCTCGCTTCCCTAAACCCGAGCAACAGTTTACAAAAAGCCGTCCAAAAAAAGAAAAGCCCTGATTTATTTTTTTCTACCGCGTTTTCGGATTTCACCACGTTCTCACCCTGTTACGAAACTCGTTCACTTAATTTTTGGGATTCTGTTTTTGTCTTACCTGTTTGCTGGAACCGCTCTTCCCCGGACTCGAAACCGGTCGCCGTGGTCGACTCCTCTCTGCATCTCGAGCCTGCCGACGTACACGGTGAGCTGAGTGGACAAACGGGTTGCAGCAGGGAAGCCCTCCACAAGGAGGTAAGCGGTCGGCCGGCAGGCTGGCAAGCACGATAGGGAACAGCGTCACACCGCCCCCCAGCGTTTGCTTAAAAAAAATTTACGCGGCCGTACGTACCTGCCTGGACGTATTCCGCTGTCTCCAGAAACGTGACTACCTATTCAGAATGAGCTTGGGTTGGGGAGAACATGCAAGCTCCACACAGAAACGCCAACTGGCTCAGTCAGGATTTGAACCAGCTACCTTCTTGCTGTGAGGCAACAGTGTGATACCACTGAGCCTTACACTATTCTTAAATTAAGAGGGAAAAATGGGATTAAACAGGTTAAAATAACAAGTAAATGTAATAAACAAGTGCATTTCTCTGTATGTGTATTGCAGATTCGTCACCTATCAGCATCATGATTATAAACCGTGGTGAAAATTACATTGATTATTGTGATATTACACTTTTTCTGTATGAGTATGAGCTTGAAAGTTTCATGAAAATATAATCGCATTGATAATTAATTATATATTAATTATATATTACAATTAAATATACAAATACAATCAATTATGTTACAATTTTTATGATCAGTTTTGTGAATGAACTCTCTGAAAGTAAACGGCATTACTGATTATAATATCGCAAGTTCTGTTTACAATCTGTCTGAAAGGCTGTAAACATTTCTTATTATGATTTCAATTCGAGGTGTGAACCAATACTGGTCTCATGGTTCGATTACGATTATCATGCCATCGATTCGGTTCAATTCGATATCACGGTGCATTGACCATGCTTTCCATACACAGTGTTATATTTTGGGGGGAGGCTATAACAAGCTTTCTGCGTAAACACACACACACACATAGACACACAGCATCAGGCTGTCTCTAATTCACACACATACACGCACGTGCCCTCGCCCGCCCGGGAACGATATTGTAAGATCGCCCACTCTGTTAAAATTACACCAGAGTTACCGACCGCTCCCGCGCTTTATTCAGAATTTTTTTCCCACGCCGCATGAAATCTGGTCGGGTCCCGTGACAATGCACAGGTACAGCCTGCAGACCTATATCAAGAAGTATCGTTGTAACAGCCGAGAGGAAAAGAGAGGGGAGGAAAAGTCACGTCAGCAGGTGAAATGGGCCACAGTGAGAGAGAGAGTTTACTTTCATTCCCTCAATCGCAGAGAAATAGGGGCTCCTGCTGTAAGTGTCAGTGAAAGACTGTCCAGAAAATACACACGCAGTGAAATTGTGCTCAGTTTCTGCGTTTTTAAGTAGTTGGCTGAACTTGGCTCCTGAGTGTTGTAAATACAACACTCAACTACAACACATATGCGACAGAGCGCATATGAGATAAATGGCGTCAGTATATAATAACCGGTTCTGATTATTACTGAACCGATACCGAATTGTTCGCGTCTGCATCGCGGTGCACCGAAGAAACAATTAATTTTGACACCCCTAATTTCAGTTGTGATAAATATTACAGTGTTATGTCTAGGGTTTAAACACAGCTGTGTGGCAACAATGTGTGAATATAACTAGCCTCTAATGCATAGGTTTCAAACGTGATACCTGTAATGCCGCAGCTCTGCACAGTTTTGCTCCAACCATAATCAAACACAGCTGATTCAACTAATCAAGGTCTTAAAGAATACTAGACACTATTAAGCAGGTGTGAGTTGGAGCTAAACTAAGCAGAGCTGTGGCTCTCCAGGAATTAAGTTTGAGACCACCCCTCTAATACGATACATTTCACTGACGTTACATTCAGCAGGTGAAAACTCTAATGGCTAAAGGACGGCTGCTTCTTACTCAGGGCTGTTTATGCTAATGAGGGAGAGGTGGGCACTTGTGGGCGGAGTTTTCCCCCTCTCATTACTCGTACAAAGGAAGAATGTTAATCAAAGTGATTATGCAGACTGATTTTTATTAAGTCTGATTATAGAAAAAAAATAAATAAATGTTTACCATTAGATGTCACGATCGGTGGTTGGGGAAAAAGGAGCGAGGACTCAATTGGAAAGAAATGGGTATTAATTATTCATTCATTAATTTTCTTGTCGGCTTAATCCCTTTATTAATCCGGGGTCGCCACAGCGGAATGAACCGCCAACCTATCCAGCAAGTTTTTTTTATGCAGCGGATGCCCTCCCAGCAGCAACCCATCCCTGGGAAACATCCACACACACATTCACACACACACACTACGGATAATTTAGCCTACCCAATTCACCTGTACCGCATGTCTTTGGACTGTGGGGGAAACCCGGAGCACCCGGAGAAAACCCACGCAAGCGCAGGGAGAACATGCAAACTCCACACAGAAACGGCAACTGAGCCGAGGTTCGAACCAGCGACCTTCTTGCTGTGGGGCGACAGCACTACCTACTGCGCCACTGCTTCGCCCGGTTATTAATTAATGGTAAAAATAAAATAAACAGCAAAATAAACTACCCTAAGGGAGAAAACACTAGCTAAACAAACAAACAAACTTGACTGGGCAGGCTGGTAGGGATCAGGGCTGGAACACACGACAAGACAAGGAGAGAAACGGTGACATACAATGACAAACTGGCACAGGACAGCAGACATGTGGGGATTATAATCTGTAGTAAATTAACACACAAACAGATGAACATAATTAGTTAATAATGGGTTAACAAGGAGGGTGGGACGAGACAATAGACGGAAGAGCACATGACACAGAGACAACACAAGCCATGCGCACACATTAGACAAGACTAGAACATGCAGCCAATGAGAGAACTCATTACCTCCGCGATCACAATAACAGGACAAGACTGAAGCACGCGGCCACAGTGTCAACACAGAGCCACGTGCTTGGACAACACAAATAGACGCAGGACACGAGCACACGATAGATGAACACCTTACCGTGCGCTCACACATATGCAACGCGCATGTTTCATCTCAGCGTCAACCAAAACTGAAACCAACTAGACGAAGACGCTGAGAAGGAAACAGCACAATGCCGACAGAACAAAACACAAGCACGAGTACAAGAGCGCGCGCGTCCAAGGCATGCATAGCCCGTGCGGCCGCATCAAGCGGGAGCGTGCACTCTCTGCATACACCCACGACAGCGAGCGTGCACAGAGACACACAGGACAAGACCGAGCTTGTGTCCGGACTCTGCCACCAAAGAAATCACAAGACTAGAGTGGCAGTACCCTGACATTAGAGGCATGATATATTCACACACTGCTGAGACACAACTGTGTTTAAGCCCCTTATAGAAGTGATTTTTGCATAATAGCTCCCCTTTAAAGTTGTTCATGTCTTTTATAGGGGTCTGTATAGCCAACATGAATGGGGTCAATGCCAACCCTCACACTCAGGTTGAAAAGGAGGAAACGGGCATTTGGCACAAACGCCTGCGTCTCAGGAAAACCTCCTTTTCTGATCAAAACACTGTGAAGGAGGAGAACAATGTTACTACATGTGAAGAGAAAGCAACAGGGGAGTCCAAGAAACGAGCGCTGAACACTTTCACCTGCTCCACATGCAACGACGGCATCTCCTTTAAACCTGGAGAATTAATCACGCACTTTAAGGTCATCCATGGAGGCGAAGGAAACCCACCGATGTTTCCATGCAGCATGTGTGATTTCTCCACATCAGTGTTTATTACGCTTCAGAAACACCGAATGAAACACAAGGACTGTTTGTTTACTTGTGATAGTTGTGAAGATGACGTTCAGCAAACATTGCCTCAACTAATCAAACATATTCAAACACATCACTCCCTCGATGGCCAATTCTACTGTACCAAATGCAAACTCTCTATGCAGGAAATTGAGCAGTTTGTGTGTCATTCTTGTCCACAACCAGTCAAAAGCAAGCATGAAGAAAGCATCACTAATGGTAAGTTGTGTATGCATGTCAGCTATCATCTCATTTCATTATTTTCTTATAATTCTCCTATATTTCTTTCTTCCAAATATATACATTTGAAGTCAGAATTATTAGCCCTGCATTGAATTTTTTTTCTTTTTTAAATATTTCCCAAATGATGTTTAACAGAGCAAGGAAATTTTCACAGTATGCTTGATAATATTTTTTCTTCTGGAGAAAGTCTTGTTTGCTTTATTTCGACTAGAATAAAAGCAGTTATTATTTTTTTAAAGCCATTTTAAGGTCAAAATTATTAGCCCCCTTCAGCAATTTTTTTTTGATAGTCTACAGCAGTGTTTCTCAACTGGGTCGCGGAAACATTTTTAGTGTGTGATAAAAAAAAAAAAAAACAAAGCTTAAACTTTTTACTTAATTTGCTTATGCTGGACTTTTATTTTGAAATGCGTGTGTAACAACCCTACCGTTTGACATGTGAAATTTTTATATAAATATATATTATATATTGATGACAAAAAGCCTGAGGCCCTATCATACACCTGGCGCAATGTGGCGCAAGGCGCGGCACAATAGTCTTTTACTACTTTTAGCTCGGCGCAAGGGTCATTTTGAGGTGTTGCGCCACGCTGTTTAAATAGCAAATGCATTTGCGCTCAAATGTGCGCCCATAGGCGTTCTGCTCTAAAAAAGCAGACGTGTTTTGGCGCGTTGCTATTTTGAGAAACTGTAAATAGTCTGTTCTTTAGACCAGAACAAAGTCGGCAGAGCCGGCCCAAGGCATAAGCGAACTAAGCGGCTGCTTAGGGCCCCGTGGCCACCAGGGGGCCCCCAAGAGTGCTTGAAATTATTGTGTGACTTTCGTTTTAGTTTTTTGAGCTGTGGATAAGTGGTGGGACAAAATATATGCCCATTTATAGTGTTATTTCTGACCGCGATACATACTCGATACAGCCAACATATTTACCTAAATTTATAAAAGATCTGATTTAATTAATGAGTTTTCAACACCGACTGCAGCAGATAACCGCTTTAGCTACAGTACACCTAGCCGCCACCAGGTGGCGCTTCCCGTAATGGCGGATCATTAGACATACACCAGCGTCATGTAAACCACTGAGATGAGCCATTGCAATGGTGAAAATCTCAGGCATTCAGACACTTTCTTCTGACCAAGCTGGGCCAATGTATTTGTGTGTTTCAGACATCCAGCTCCCCTGAATTTGCCAGTAGTTTCTTTCTAACAGACGCGCTTTCACTTCACTATATCGCTCGCGCGTGCCCGCGGCCGGAGCAACTTCTTATGTGCTCAAACTTTTTAACTCCGCCAAAATATTTAAAGATATCAATAGGACATAAACATATAGTTAGAAAGGCCTTGCGTTTATTTGACTCTTCCAGACCTTGTCAAAGTCTTGTAGATGGTATTTTGGCAAAAAATATTAGGGGAATTAAAAAACTTAAATAGATGAGTAAATAACTAACTAATGTTCTCCACTGCTGACAACATACGTGCTCAGAGGACTCTGTGCTCACCTCTCAGAGCATTCTGATCAGTTGAAAAAAATAGTAGGAATACATATTTTTTATTAAAAATAAACCAGGGCTAAGCATAAAATGTTTCCATGTTTACATAAAATTAGTTGGTCAAGTTGTAATAAGTGCTTTAATTTTACAGAAAATTAGAAAAAAATAAATTAATATTTTGGCAGTTTTTTTCTTAAATGCACATTGCACTAAATTGAGATTCTGCTGCTGTGATAGAGATGTGCTCTCTTCAGTCATAAACTGCTCTCTGCACATCAGCATTTTGAAGCTTGTTTGACAGATGTGCACTTGTTTTACATTGTTGCAATTCTATAAATGCGTGTTTATAAAAGAAATTCATCATAAATTTTTGATGCATTTTCCCCCTTCATTTACCAAAATTGTGATATATTGTGGCTGGTTTTCTTGTGATCTATCAACATATCGCAGAATCATTGATACCGTGATTGAAGAGGTAGTGCCCGGAACAGCAGCAAAATGCTTTTTCATGAACTTGGTAATAAAAAATATGCTTCTGATTTATACAATTGACAGTTGGTAAATACACTGCAAAAATGATTTTCTTTCTTATGGTTTTTGTGTGATTTTTAGTCCAAATATCTAAAAATTCTTAAACCAATAAACATTTTCTAGACAGATTTTTCGTCAAAATTGTTAACTTTTCATTAAAAAAAGCTCAATAATCTGCCAATTAGGGTAAATAAAAAATATTGCTTTAGGTTTTAAATAAGATTATTTTACTGATCTCATTGGCAGATTAATTTGTTTTAAAAAAATTCACTTAATTTAGAATTATTTCTGAAAACTGAAAAAAATTTGTACGTTTACTAATTTGACTGATATGCGAGTATGTCTAGAAAATGCTTCCTGATTTAGTTTGATTTTAATTTAAATAGATGTTTTAAGTTATTTGAACTACAAAATACAATATGATTTTTTTCAGTGTTAACATTTATATCCAATTAAAAAAAATGTATCTTTATTGTCACTATGTTTGACTGTTTGGCAGCGTCTTGTGCCTGAATAATAATAAAAATAAGTATGTTATTGGCTACTTCCAGCTGCTTTTGTTTCTGCCAGCCCATATTAATGTTTTGTGTCTAATTATTTAGATTTGTGGCAAGTAGTCATAAAAAGTTGGATCAATAGGAAGTTGTTTCTGCAGATTAATATTTAGAATTGTCTTAAAACATATATTTTTTGATGTAAGCAACACAGCTACAGCGAATAAAATCGATAATGTGTGTTTTAAATTTATAGTGTGCGAATTATCAAGGATTGACGATAATTTTTCATATTGTTTGCACCAAGGGGGCCCCAAATAAAATCCTGCTTAGGGCTCCCTGAAGGCTTGGGCCGGCCCTGAAAGTCGGTCTATTGTCTGGCGCAAAGTGCGCCGGCTTACACACTACACACAAGATGCAATACGCAAATATCTTTAAATATGAAAAAGATATAGTATATTAAGGATATATAGAGGATATAAATATAAAGGATTAAAATATTACGAAACATATTAATTTCTAGCCTTCATGAATTTAAAAACCACTGCCTTCATACTTTCTTCATCTCGGGAGGCTTTTTCAGTTCATTCAATTTGCTTTTGTATAATGTTATTATTGTTAGCAGTATTATTTATTATATCCATATTTATATTTGTTTTATTAAAAACAAGCTTAGATTTGCCCACTTGTCAGGTTTTAGACAATATAAGGCACAGCATGTGTTTTAGGATATAACTCAGGTTTTTGACCACACTTTGTTATTATTAATCATTACATACTACACACATATATACACGCCCTTTATATAAATATATATGTATATATATATATCCTTAAGATATTATATCTTTTTCAAGTGTAAAGATATTTGCGTATTGCATCTTGTGTGTAGTGTGTAAGCCAGGCGCACTTTGCGCCAGACAATAGACCGACTTTGTTCTGGTCTAAAGATCAGACTATTTACAGTTTCTCAAAATAGCAACGCGCCAAAACACGCCTGCTTTTTTAGAGCAGAACGCCTATGGGCGCAGATATGAGCGCAAATGCATTTGCTATTTAAACAGCGTGGCGCAACACCTCAAAATGACCCTTGCGCCGAGCTAAAAGTAGCAAAAGAGTATTGCGCCGCGTCTTGCGCCACATTGCACCGGGTGTATAATAGGGCCCTAAGTCTTTTTATTAAATTCAATACGTCTATATTTTAAACTTGTTATAAAGTTCTACATTGTGATTTCCCCATCCTGTTTGAGCACTGGTTATCCAGGTTTGGTGATCCTGAAGAGTTCATATGCGGATCAGATTGATCCAATCTGATGTTGCTTTGAAAAACTGGCTGAATTACGTAATGTAATGTGTATTTATATTGCGCATTTATTGTGTATGGCCATACACCCAAAGCGCTTCACAATCATGAGGGGGGTCTCTCCACACCACCACTAGTGTGCAGCATCCATTTGGATGATGCGATGGCAGCCACAGGACAACAGCACCAGTGCGCTCACCACACACCAGCTATTGGTGGAGTGAAGAGACAGTGATAGAGCCAATTCAATAGATGGGGATGATTGGGAGGCCATGATCGTAAGGGCCGATAGAGGGACTTTGGCCAGGACACCGGGGTCACACCCCTGCTCTTTCACGAGAAGTGCCATGGGATTTTTAATGACCACAGAGAGTCAGGACCTCGGTTTAACGTCTCATCCGAAAGACGGCGCCCACTGACAGTGTAGTGTCCCCTTCACTTTTACTGGGGCATTAGGACTCACGCAGACCACAGGTTGAGCGCCCCCTGCTGGCCTCACTAACACCACTTCCAACAGCAACCTAGTGTTCCCTAGTGGTCTCCCATCCAGGTACTGACCAGGCTCAGCCCTGCTTAGCTTCAGTGAGTAACCGCTCTTGGGCTGCAGGGTGATATGGCTGTGGCCATCGTGATCACAGATTGCAAAAAAAGGATTACTAAATCCAGATAAATGTTATCCTGATTAAACCTTTTGAAAAACCAGGCCCAGGAGTGCAATACCTAGTGCAACCACTGGGTGTCAAACTTACATACCGCACCTTTAAACAAAATTTATTAGTCTTAATCACTGCTAATCACTAAATAACTCTCCCTTATTCTCACATCCCAGGTGTGAAGTTGGAGACGCCACAGAAAAACGATCTCCTACAACACATGGCTGCTGCGTGTCGGCGAAAATGGAGCCGAAGAAATTGGTGGAAAAAGCGAGAATCTTCTTCAAAAGAAGAAAACAATAACTTATCCCAGGAGTTGAAGCTTCTGCATCCTAAACCAGAACCCAAATGGCCGTCCACTTTACTGGACACCAATGGCATCTTAGTGGATCCAGAGAAGACTTTGGAAGAAACGAAGCAGTTTCTTGAAAGAACGGTTGTTAGTGGTAAGAAGTGGAGCATGTCTCTAAAAGATGAGCAGGACTTTGCTCCCCCACATTTAAATGGGATAAACCATTGGCGTGTTGGGAAAGATAAGATATCCGGACTGATGGAGAAAAACAATATAACCGTTCCCCCAGATTGCACTACGAAAGTGGTCGGATTCAAGATGGTGGACGGCAAAAAGCATTTAGTCCTCAGAGTCATTCCTTCAGACAAGCAAGATGAGGCGTTCAGATCTAACACTGTGAAACCAACCAATCAATCTTCGGTTGAGCCAAACGACACTGTTAAAGCTTCAGGAAACTGTTCTCAGGGGACTCCGGAAAGGATTTTATCCCCGGGACGATGTGCAACTCAACATAGCATTTCATCGTCAGTGATTGAGAGATGTAATAGCCAACAACAAGATGTCTACGATAACCGGGACTTCAATAACCTCCAACATAATCCAGTCAGAAAGACCAAAACAACCAATCTACGGTCCTGTGATGAAATAAACACTCATGCAGAACATCCAAAAGAGCAAGAAAAGCCTCTCAGTGGGTCAGAGCAAAACTCTAATGAGGATCTGAGCTCTGATGTGGGATCTGCGCAAGAGAAACGCGACCTGGCATTGGATCCAAATGCAGATCTGTGCTCCACTTTTGGGTTTGATTGCATTAGTCCATCTTTGAATAACCTGAGCGAGTCATTGTGTGGTTTTCAAAGTGCAGATGGAGGATTGTTATTCCACAGCGAAAGCACAAACAACTGCGACCCCAGAGAGGCTGCTGTGTTCCCGGTGGGTCAGTATGACTGCGAGAGGGAGAATCTGTGTGTTTCAGAGCTGAATCAGACGGTGGAGGAGCTGCCTTTGACTACAGTCAGACACTTACTGGATGAGTCTTCAAGTTCGGATGAACCACAGAGAGACTCAGCATGCACTGGAGGTGAGCAATGAGCAACGAACTGCATTAAAATCTGCAAATATCACATAACAAATCATTTTAATTTGCTTACTGCATGTAAAGATGTGTGTAAATATCTATTTGTTAAGTTGTGACGTATGGAGTACTCTTTGCGGGTACAAAACGCTACTCATTTGAATTGAGAAAATATTTGTTTATGACAACATTTGAGTCATTTCACATATTAAAGTGATTATTTTTAAAGAGCCCCTATTATGCAAATAAAAAGGGTCATATTTTGGTTTTGGGGTCTCCAACAACAGGCTGATATGCATGCTAGGTAAAAAAACTCTTTAAATGTCTTATGATATGTATTTATTTTTGCCTAATTATCCCAGCGACTCCCATATGATTCATTCAGTGCTTCATTTGTTCTCTAAACTGTGCTGATTGGTCTGATGACCCAGTCTGTTATGATTGGTCGACGTTTAGAGCAAAACAGAGTGAAATGCCCACCACGGCTCATCAACAATTTTAAAGTAGTCAGAGCACAGAGTGTATGTATGAGCATACCTGCCAACACTCCTGTTTTTCCCGGGAGCCTCCCGCATTTCAGACCCATCTCCCGCCACCCTCCTGTTTTGTTATTTTTCCCAGAAAACTCTCATAATTCTAGCCCGGGTTGCCATTTTTGATATAGGTTCCGATCACAGTGGCCACCCAAAACATGATTCATAGTACAGTTACTAACACCACAGTACCCGGTTCTCAACAGTATTATTCAGACACCTCACCCCTGAACCTAACCCCCCTGGATTTTCAGGGACAAATGTTATCAGATATGTGTAAGCCCAATGCAGGAGTGCATTAAAGCAATGCAGTTTAACACCAGCATATTGCTCTACTCTTACCCATTACACACATTCAGGTACACTACATTCACAGATCCACACTCCAGCAAATAATTTTGTATTCTGTAGACGTCTAATAGACATCTAAACGTAGACAGCTTGGCTAAAACAAGGCCAAACTTGGGCTGTCAGTGAAAATCTAACAGACATCTAAGAATAGCCTAAAACTAGATTAGTCGTCAAATAGACAGATCAGACAGACTTTGAGCTCTATTTTGACGGTCCATGCGCAAAGCGCAAAACGCAGGGCGCAAACGCTTTCAGGGCGTGTCAGGACGCGTTTTTGCTAATTTAAGGACGGGAAATCTGCCTTGCGCCGCGGCGCATGGTCTAAAAGGGTTGAGTTTATTCTCTTAATGAGTTATAGGTGTGTTTTGAGAATAAACCAATCAGAGTCTCATCTCCCATTCCCTTTAAGAGCCAGCTGCGTCGCGCCAAGAGCGCATTCGCTATTTACAGGACGCAAAGTCAGTCTAAGTGGAAAAACTGAGCATTTCACAAGCAAACAGTTAACAGTTTATTTACAGAAAACAGTTAAACAGAGCATCTACTGCGTGAGAACGAGAGATAATGGATCTACTTTCAAATTCGCTCTTGGATAGGGAAACCTTTACACACAGACATCAATTAGTCTATAAATAAATAATTTTGTTTGTTAAGCGCAAATATTCGTTTCAAAACTATTTCTAAATTCAGTTCTAATTTCCAGCAAACCAATAAATAAACAATAATAACAAAATGTGCTCAAAAACCTGAGTTATATCCTAAAACACATGCTGCGCCCCATATGGTCTAAAACCTGACAGGTGGGCAAATCTAAGCTTGTTTTTAATAAAACACATATAAATATGCATATAATAAATAATACTGCTAATAATAATAACATTATACAAAAGCAAATTGTTATGAATGAACTGAAAAAGCCTCCCGAGATGAAGAAGACATAAAAGCAGTGATTTTTCATATTTATGTAGGCTAGAAAATAATATGTTTTGTAATATTTTAATCCTTTATATTTATATCCTATATCTATTCTTATTATATCCTATATATATCCTTAATATTTACATGTTTTCATATGGAAAGATATTTGCCTATTGCTCTCTTGTGTGTATTAAGCAGTGTGTAAGCGAGGAGCAACTCTGCGCTGGAGTTTAGACCGGGTTTGTTTTGGTCTAATGAAAAATCTATTATAGATTCTCAAAATAGCAACGCGCCAGCGGTCCGCCTCAGAACGCCTCCCTTTTTAGAGCAGAACGCCTATGGGTGCACAAATGAGCGCTAATGCATTTGCTATTTAAACAGCGTAGCGCAACGCCTCAAAATGACTCTTGCGCCAAGCTGAAACTACCAAAAGACTATTGCGCCACGCCTTACGCCACACTGCGCCGGGTGTATGATAGGGCCCTTTATGTGTGTAGTCATTTATTTCTGTTTATTTCATGACCAGTCTAATTTTGCCCTGATATTACAATCAGAATGAGCTAAATTCGTCAAGTGTGAGCAAACACTTTTAATTATGACAGTACATAATATTTGACTAGATATTTTTCAAGATACTACAGGGTGTCCGCAGGGGCTTAAAAAGTATTAAAAGTAGGTGAGTCAATTACGAGAAAACTACAGCATTAAAAAGGTATTAAAAAGTCTTAATCATGTTTTCACGAGGTCTTAAATTTGGTTCAAGCGTTGTCCAAAGTGTTTGACTCCGAAAAAGCATAAATATATTTGTTTTCCTCCTAATATTGACCAGTTAAACTCCGCGGACGTCATCAAAATTTGCTTTAAGATTTAAAGGGCTAGCTTTGCACCAGACCCCCGTAAGTGGTTTTGTTTGAAAGTGTAGAATCTATATTTTATGCACATATGCATCACTTTGGTTTTTATTCTACTGTACAAAAGTTATTTACTCTTAAATACACAGTGTTTTGGATACCCGAGCTGGGTATTTTACATTGGTTCATTTTCATATTTTTCATATGACACATGTACAAGTTATAGCTCAAATGAAAGCTCTTGCCGGTGCTCATACAGTTCTAGCATTCTTTTTACTGAATTATATTCACATATCAAACAGTTGCTGAATGAATTGTGGTGTTTCCATGGCGCAGAAGTGAAAACAATACATTTATGATCAATAAGCAGCCCCAGATAGCACAGACAGCTGTCATCTCTTAACTTATGCTGTGCGCTTCAGGGCCATTCTCCTCTGTTTTTGAGGTGATGTGCATAAGTAATCCTTTCATATGTCTGACGTGCTCCAAACACAGTGAATTATGTTTGATCAAACAAAAGAATAGTGAAATATGGAAACAATGATCGGTCCCTGTGGCTTGTACAGCACCTCTCATCAGTTGGAATACAATAACTTTTGCATAGATTATGGTGGAGACATTTTTCTTTTTTCCTATGATTACAGACATGTGCAGGAACCACCAACATTAATTACAGCACGCTAGACCACACACAACCTAAAATATACACTTTCACATTTGAGCTCATAAAAAAAAAATACAAAAAGCGCCTCTTTTATTAGGTGTTTATTATAATACAGACAACATTTACAGATATTTTAAACACTTTCAATAAAGTGTTCAAAATATCTTTTTTTTAAAACTTATTTTAAAACTTTTTTTGTTTTATGAAAATTCAAAGGGTTTTCTTTAAAATTATACCAAATTTTTGCATTTCCACCTCTGCATGTGGATTTGGGAAGCTTTTAAATTTGGGTAGGCAAAATCCAGGTGTAAATCCCAAAATAACAGCAGAGTTTAAGTGGTTAATCATGATTTTACGAGGTCTTAAATTTCGTTCAAGCGTTGTTGAAAGTGTTTGACTCCAAAAAAGCATAAATATACTTGTTTTCCTCCTAATACTAATGACAGCAAACTCGATCCACGCTTTTGGTTCAGGCCGGAGCGCCGAGTGACGTCACATAATTTCGCGACAAACGCAGGAAGGTGATGTGATCATGTGACGCTCTCCACGTGTAACAAAACCATAGAGCGAAACAGACGGCTAAGTTTGCGCACTCCTGCTTGGAGAAAGACGAGTTTAAACAGTGGCTGAAACCTGTCGCTGAAAACTACGTGATTTATTCTTTCAAGCTTTGTTTCTTCCGAGCTGATCTGAGTTCAGTTGCACGGTTGTGCTCTATTGATTTATTTAACTACAACTGTTCATTAATAAGGGTGTCACGATCCTCCAAATCCTCGATTCTTTTACATTTTCGATTCTAAAGGCACGATTCGATTCGATTTTCGATTATGAATAATTAATTAATGACGAATTAATTATTCGTAGCCTACCGTTTAAACTACCTGACCTGCATGGTCTTTGTTTTACCCATAAACAAATCATACAGTAAATGAATAAAGGTAAGTTACACACATAATTACCACCTGTCAATCACTTTTTCTGCGGGACTCGTGAATAGGCAGTGATCTGTGTCGTTATAATGGCGTCGGTAAAAAAGACGCACAACCAACAGGAACCAGCCAACAGTATCTGAGGTGTTCGCTAAAATGACGAAGTACAAGTGAGTGAAAGATTGAAGCAGTCCTCTGACTGCCTGGACCTGCTGTCTCGAGCGCATGGCTGTGTGCGTCTGTGTCTGTGTGGTCACGTGATGTGCACTTTCAGAGGTAGAGAGGAAGGAGGGCTGATCAGAAATGCTACACGCCACTGTGGATGTCAAATCGTTGTCGTTCTAAAATGCCATTGTGGAGAGGTAAGCGTGATCGAACACCCAATAAGGGGGGAGAGCATGCTAGGAGCCCGGCGGCTAATCAGCGGGTCAATCAGAAATGATAAATAACACCTGTCTTTCTAGTGATTGGGCCGGAGAGGCTCCCTTCTTAAGGAGAACGGGAGGAGCAGTCGGGAGAGGAGAGAGCACACACACACACACACACAGACGGACACAGTTTGCTGAAGCTGTGCAAAAGCAAAATAAAATATATTGCTTACCTGATATCGCCGACCCTGTCTTCTTCTTCCGACCCAACAACGGACTATATTACAGCCATTTAAAAACAAAGACAGTGTAAACAGGGCCTGAGTGTGTACTTTTCGCCAGCGGATTTGCAAAGGGGGCGGGCGGAGGATCGCGATGCCGGTGTTGTCTATCGGACGAACCGTACGTAATACACACATAGCAGAGCTTGCAAACTGTGTTTATTTTGTCGACAATACGAACGTTGTCAACATAACTCACTGGAAATCCAAAAAGCTCACACACCGGCGACTTCATTGAAAGAGGAGAGGGTTTAAGTTCTGTCGACGGGTCTCCTGCGTCTGCAGTTTAACAAGCACTTCAACAAGCCTGTTTTTTCCTGCTTGGCAAGCCAAGCTGACGTGACATGGGGGCGTGGCAGCATCGACGATTCTATTTTTTGATTCGATAATCGAAATTGCGCATAAATTTTGATCGATTTCGACTAAAAATCGAAATTGTGACACCCCTATTCATTAACAACTGTTTATTAAGTTAAAGATACTGATTAGAACTTGAAGTGGCGATGAGGTCCTACAATATTCTGAGAAGGTTTTTAAAATGGTATTGAAATTACCTTTTGGATTCCTGTATATAACCTGTACTAGTATCCAGCTTGAACTGACATTTAAAGAAAATAAATTAAAATATTATAGGAAATCATGTGTGAAAATCCTTGCTCTGTTCAACATAATTTGGGAAATATTTATAAAATGCTAATAATTTTGACTCCAGCATACAATCATATACTCTTCTCCATGTTTTGATCAGGAACAATCGAGCGACATGAGCCAGAAAACACCAGCATCATCTTCTCTGAGGATTCAGACTCGTCCACAACTGTTCCTGAGTCAGCCGCCGGCTCCATTTCATCACTAAACAGAAAGCGCATGGGAGAAGAATCCTCAACAGACTCCCAACAACAACCCGTCAGTAAATCCCCAAAGCCATCCATTCTCCATTGGGAACCGGCGTCTCGAGACACTCCGACAACCCTTCGACTGATTCCCTTCAATTCCACACAATCCCTCAAAATCCCTGCTGAGAACCAACCCGTTATAGTCCTCAACCATCCAGATTCTGATATCCCCGAAGTGACGAACATCATGAAAGTCGTGCACAAACACAAAGCTGCGATCCAGCGTGTGGTTTTGTCTCGTAAAACTCTCCGTGCGCTGTCGGAGTTTAATTGCAATGCATTCATTTCAACGAATCTCCTCACCAGTTATCACTATAGGAGGGAATGGCCAAATAGCAGCGTTAAGGAGAGATTCAGCTTGAAACTGAGACTCAAAAGAGTGCGTGGAAGAAAGTATACCGTGGTGCCGACGCTATCAGAAAGCGCTGTTCTGCAGCCGACGTTCACATGCTGGTTTTGCGGGCGTGTTTTCAGGAATCAAGAAGCTTGGGTTGGACACGGACAGAGACATCTGACTGAAGCCACCAGAGGCTGGAAGCAGATCTTCAACACATAGAAGACCTGAATCAGAGAGTTAGACGTTTATAAATGCAGTGAGAGCTAAAATCAGGGTTACTATGCTAATCTCAGGGCGAGAAAATGTGCAAATGTCAGGATCTTTATTTTAGTGTTGCAAAAAAAGAGCTTGTTTCTAGTCCAAATATCAAAACATTCTCATTTTTATACAAGCAGTTAATATTGTGTTGTTTTCTGAAGTGATGAGTCAAAATGAAGTGAGTTTTGCATTAAAATGAGCTAAATAGTCTTCCATTAGGGTAAGCAAAATAGTCTTATGTCAAAAAGAAAACTAGATTCTTTTACTCACCCCATTGGCAGATTATTTTGCTTGTTTTAAGGAAAAACTCACTTAATTTTGACTCATTATTTATGAAAACAACACAATATGTTCTGCTTGTCTAGTAAATACTTCTTGATTGAAAGAGTTTTAGGTATTTGGACTGGAATCAAGCTTTATTTGCAGTGTTTATAATAACACAATCGCTTAAAGGCATTTAGGCTGGAAATTGATATGACTGAATAATTATATTGTCGAGAATGCATTATTTATTTTCACTATCGCTTTATTTTTGACTGTCATTTTGACACATTTTGCTGACTACAAGTTATAGTGCCAGCTATTTCTTGTTGGAATATTAGCAGATAGTTTGCTTATTGTTTGCTGATATTTCTTATCTAACACACATCCTGCTTATTATAAGAAACATTGCAAGTACATGTCAATGTATAGTAATCCCAACGCTTCAATGCAAAAAAAAAAGACTTTGTTTTTGTCTCGTTTGAATCTAAAAAGTCTTAAATCAAGAAGCATTTTCTAGATGAGCTAAAAATATTGTGTTGTTTTTAGAAATATTAAGCCAAAATGAAGTAAGTTTTGCAGTAAAACAAGCAAAATAATCTGCCATTAGGTTAAACAAAACAAGCATTTTGAAATAAGACTATTTTAAGGAAAAACTTGCTTAATTTTGACTCCTTATTTCTGCAAACATGACAATATTTTCTGCTTGTCTGGAAAATGCTTCTTGATTTAAAGAGTTTTACATATTTGGACCGGAATCAAGCCTTATTTTGCAGTGTTTATAATAACACAATCGCTTAAAGGCATTTAGGCTGGAAATTGATATGACTGAATAATTATATAGTCGAGAATGCATTAATTATTTTGCCTATCGCTTTATTTTTGACTGTCATTTTTAAGCATTTTGCTGACTACAAGTTATAGTGCCAGCTATTTCTTGTTGGAATATTAGCAGATAGTTTGCTTATTGTTTGCTGATATTTCTCCTCTAACACACATCTTGCTTATTATAAGAAACATTGCAAGTACATGTCAATGTATAGTAATCCCAACGCTTCAATGCAAAAAAAGACTTTGTTTTTGTCTCTTTTGAATCTAAAAAGTCTTAAATCAAGAAGCTTTTTCTAGACGAGCTAAAAATACTGTTGATTTCAGAAATAAGGAGCCAAAATGAAGTAAGTTTTGCATTTAAACAAGCAAAATAATCTGCCATTAGGCTAAACAAAATAAACTTATTTCTGAAAACATGACATTATTATTTGCTTGTCTAGTAAATGCTTCTTGATTTAAAGAGTTTTAGATATTTGTACCAGAATCAAGCTTTATTTTGCAGTGTTTATAATAACACAATCTCTTAAAGCCGATTAGGCTGGTAATTGATATGACTGAATAATTATATACTCGAGAATGCATTATTTATTTTGCCTATAGCTTTATTTTTGATGCTCCTTTTACACATTTTGCTGACTACAAGTTATAATGCCAGCTATTTCTTGTTGGAATATTAGCAGATTGTTTGCTTAGTATCTGTTGATATTTCTCTATTAACATTCTCCTGATACAAAACATTTCAAGTACATGTAAATTAATACTTAATTCATAAAAACATGATATATTGACTTAAAAAGCAGCAAGCGCTTACTAAAATCAGGGTTTCTGTGCTAATCTCAGGGCGAGACATGTACATGTGCAGATGTGAGGAGCTTTGAGTTACATTCTTCACTGTAAAACAGGCTTTGCTCATCTAAAGTCTAGCACAAATATCTAAAAAACTCTTAAATCAAGAAGCATTTTCTAGATGAGCTAAAAATATTGTGTTGTTTTCAGAAATAATGAGGAAAAATGAAGTGAGTTTTGCATCAAAACAAGCAAAATAATCTGCCATTAGGCTAAACAAAACAGTCTTATTTCTGAAAACATGACAATATTCTTTGCTTGTCTAGTAAATGCTTCTTGATTTAAAGAGTTTTAGATATTTGGACCAGAATCAAGCTTTATTTTGCAGTGTTTATAATAACACAATCTCTTAAAGCCGATTAGGCTGGAAATTGATATGACTGAATAATTATATACTCGAGAATGCATTATCTATTTTGCCTATCGCTTTATTTTTCACTGTCATTTTTAAGCATTTTGCTGACTACAAGTTATAATGCCAGCTATTTCTTGTTGGAATATTAGCAGATAGTTTGCATAGTATTTGTTCAGCATCAAATATACAGAATCAATAAGAGCCCAATTGTTCAAATCTATCAGCAAAAAACTAAATTAGTTCACATTTTCTTCCTCTCGGAATCAAATTTTTAATTTTGTGCATCAAAACTCAAATAAAAATATAATGAGACAAGCAAAATAACATTATAGATGAGAACACATTGGGCCATAAATAACAACAATATTGAAATGTATATAAATACAAATATGCACAGCATGTCATAAAAATTATAGTATATAAGGAAGAAAGATTGAAAGAAAAAACATATAAACATACACATTTTCTCTGTGATTTCCAATCATAACTACCATTAAGAGGTCAACCCAAGCAGCACTTTCTTTTTTTTTTTTGGAAATGTGTTTTTATTAAAGTTTTTTTTAAACATAGTATACAAATAACATTTACTTAGAATGTTTACAGTCACAAAAAAGGAAACAATTAGAAAGAAAAAGAATATATAAGATATAAATTATTATAATAGATCAATTATAATGACAGCTAAAAGAAAAAATTAAAACTAAATAAAATAAAAAAATAATAATAATAAAAAAGGAGGAGGGGGGGGGGTAAACAAATAAATAAATAAGCAGCACTTTCTAAAATATTAATAAACATTAGTCAAGATGAGTTTTTCCTTAAATAATCTGCCCATGGGGTAAGCCAATTATTTTGCTTGTTTTAAGGAAAAACCCATTTCATTTTGGCATATTATTTCTTAAAGCAAGACTATGTTTTGCTTGTCTAAAAAATGCTTCTTGGTTTAAGAATTTCTAGATGTTTTGGCTAGAAATAAGGCAAAAACAGTAAGAGAAGCTATTTTTGTAGTGTAAACGTACACTCTCAGAAAAACGCGAGGTGTTACTGGGGTGGTACCTTTTCAAAAGGTGCAAATTTGTACCTAAAAGGTCTATAATAATACCTCAAGGGTACATAATAAAGTACAAAAGTGTTCCTCTTAATTTATTAGGTACTAATAAATACTTTTATGTTACCAATATGGACCCTTTAAGTACAAATGTGTACCTTTAGAAAAGGGACCACCCCAGTGACAGCTCGCGTACCTTTATTTTTGAGAGTCTACTTATACTCTAATTAGAATAAGTTGCCATGCAAATGCAATGTAAAGTATAATCAACACAAATGTGTTAAAATAAATATTATGATTCCTTATACCTTATGATTTTGTTCCACAATGTGAAAAAGTGCAGTACGTTATCTAGTATATTGAAAACCACAGTGTTTTGCAGTCCAAATCAATCATGCAAGACACTGTAATCGTTCATATTCTTACAGAAACCTCAGGTAATGTCGTAATATTTCACTACTAATTGAAGAAGGCTGAACGAACAGAGTTATTCAGCAGTTTTGTTTGGTACAAGACATTTATGTAGCTTTATATTCATTATTTTTTGGTGTATTAAACAGACAGAGCAGGCCATGTGTATAGTTTATTACTCTATCACTCGCTTTTTGCAGTAGAAATTGAGCTTTTGTGATTGAAACGTTGACTGATGATCACTTTAGGTGTGTTTTGTGTTTGTGTCATTGCTGCATTCATCTAAAACTACGATTGTATGCAATCGACTTGTACATTCAGCATTCATTTAAAACTACAAGAGCCTAGCATGGAAAACTCTGTATTTATCATGCATTATTTATTGTTTCAGTGTGCAGTCGGCTGTAATGTTTGTGTTATTTAATCAAATGTTCGATGAATTGCATCACATTTATTTAATTGTTAAATGTGTAAATCATTGTTAAAGAAGGCCACAGACTGTGATATTGCGATCTCGATCGTTTAAAAACAATAGTTTTATTCTCATTTATGACGCCAAAGGGTTTTATTTAAGGTCTGTGCTGATCAGAGTAATAATTTCTTGGTTTATGGGTTTGTTGTGATGACTTGATTCGCACTGCAGAGTTTGACGCACTCAATTGTTGTGTGAATATCAAAAATCTCCAGATGCAATGTTTGTGGATGGTGTTTATTTTACAGCTCTGTAATGCACTTCACCTGAAAACCAAAGTAGACGTGTCTCTCGTGTGTTTGCAAAGCATTTGCTTTACACTAAAGGCTGTGAATGACACCTTACTGTATATTGCTGGATTACTGAAGTGCCTCTGTACAACCTGACACTCTGAGCCCCCTTTGTAAATAAATATATGCTTATTATGAAGACTGAGTTTTTTATTTGTTTTTTCAACAAGAGTTGAGGTAAGTGCAACTGTTTAGAAACACACACACACATACATTTATATACATATATATATATTAATTCATATATATATATATATATATATATATATATATATATATATATATATGTTGTCCTGAGAGTGGAATTTATGTTTAAGAGTGCAATATAGCTTTATTTGCAGTAAGAATCATAATGATGTTGTATATATGATTACCGGCCACTTTATTAGGTACACCTGTCTTACAGCAAGATAACGCACCATGTCATAAAGCTAAATCCTCTCAGACTGGTTTCTTGAACTTGACAATGAGTTCACTGTACTCAAATGGCCTCCACAGTCACCAGATCTCAATCCAATAGAGCAGCTTTGGGATGTGGTGGAACGGGAGATTGGCATCATGGATGTGCAGCCGACAAATCTGCAGCAACTGTGTGATGCTATCATGACAATATGGAGCAAAATCTCTGAGGAATATCTCCAGTGCCTTGCTGAATCTACGCCATAAAGGATCAACTCACTGGCCACTTTATTAGGTACATTTTACTAGTACCGGGTTGGACCCCCTTTTAACTTCATGGTCTTGAACAGAAATGCATTGAGTTGCTGCCATGTGATTGGTGGATTAGAAATTTGCGGACAGGTGTACCTAAAGTGGCCGATGTGTGTGTGCATTTATGTATGTGTATATATTCCAAATGAAAATAAATTAGTATACAGGAGTCAAACAAAAAAATAAAATACTAAATTAAATATATATATATATATATATATATATATATATATATATATATATATATATATATATAGGGCGAGGCAGTGGCGCAGTAGGTAGTGCTGTCGCCTTGGCTCAGTTGGCGTTTCTGTGTGGAGTTTGCATGTTCTCCCTGCATTCGCGTGGGTTTCCTCCGGGTGCTCCGGTTTCCCCCACAGTCCTAAGACATGTGGTACAGGTGAATTGGGTAGGCTAAAATGTCCGTAGTGTATGAGTATGTGTGTGAATGTGTGTGTGGATGTTCCACCGAGATGGGTTACAGCTGGAAGGGCATCCGCTGCATAAAACATATGCTGGATAAGTTGGTGGTTCATTCCGCTGTGGCGACCCCAGATTATTAAGGAACTAAGGGGACTATAATACACCCGGTGCAAGGCATGACGCAATTGTCATTTGCTAGTTTCAGTTTGGCGCAAGAGTTGTTTGGTGTTTTGCAGCACGCTGTTTAAATAGCAATTGCATTTGCGCTCATATGTGCGCCCATAGGCATTCTGCTCTATAAAGGAAGCGTGTTGAGGCGCATTGCTGGCACGTTGCTGTTTTGAGGAACTATAATAGACTGTTCAATAGACCAGATCAAAGCAGATCTAATATCCATATAAATATACAGCAAGATAAAAAGTGTAAAAATGGTATTTTTGCTGTAATTGATTACTAAGTTACTGATGAACTGATGTTAACAGTGCACAAATACAGTCATTATATACTATATAGTCACAATGGTCTACATACTCCAAAACAATTTGCATTTCATCCACTTTAAAGAGATAAAAGTCTTCAGACATCACAATTGTAATTATTAAAATACACAACACAATAGCTTTAACAAATTTTTTCATATTTATTTTATTGCCACGCACCTTATGTGAAGTAAAACAGTATGTTTAATACAATATCCAACAATAAATGAACGATATATGAACTGTACAGCTGTACCTGATTTGCATGTTGATTAATATGACATTTTCTGTACTTTTCTGAAGAGTTTACAACCACAAAAAAACAAACAAACAAACAAACACCTAGCATAAAAAGCGCTTAACGTGACTTAATGTTTTAAGAATGTTATTTATAAAAATGAAATTTGGTATACAGTTTAAAAAAAAGATTCTTCATACAGATATGCAAATGAACCCAGAAAGTACAACACCCTAAATAGCATGTTAAGCGATTTCTACTCATAAAATGGTTGAAAAAGTGCTTAAAGTGGATTCATACATTATAAACAGATAATATTTATATAAAATAGCAATCTATGCTGAATTTGCCTGATTTACGGTCATATATGAAAACTACAGCGAATTTATTCAAACACATGTACATATTTTTTATGGCTTTAATGGTTAAAATTTTGTTATAGATGGACATTTTTCCAATATTTAAAAATATATGTTGAATAAATGACATTTGCATATCTCTAAAATCCAAACATACGCTTGTATGTCATCTGATTTGCATGTATTGTGTTATAGATTCCTAAAACGTGTTAAAAAATAATTGTAATATTTAAATATAGTAACATATTCTATACTGAATTTTGTTTCCCGGAGATGGGTTTCAGAAGGGCATCCGCAGCGTAAAACATGTGCTGGATAAGTTGGCGGTTCATTCCGCTGTGGCGACCCCGGATTAATAAAGGGACTAAGCCGAAAAGAAAGTGAATGAATGAATAATTCTATACTGAATTTGCCTCTATGGAAATCTGATATATGGCCATATATGAAAAATTATTGCAATTTAATTTGAACATATGTACATTATTATTATGGCTAAATTATTGTTATAATTGGACATTTTTGCAATTTTTAGAAATATATGTTGTATACATGACATCTGGGGGCCTCACAGCAAGAAGATTGCTGGTTCGAGCCCCGGCTAGGTCACATGGCATTTTTGTGTGGAGTTTGCATGTTCTCCCCGTGTTGGGGTGAGTTTCCCATGCATGTAGTGTGTGAGTTTGAATGAGTGTGTATGGTTGTTTCCCAGTGCTGGGTTGTGAGTGCAAGGGCATCCACCATGTAAAACATATGCTGGATAAGTTGGTGGTTCATTCTGCTGTGGGGACCCCTGATAAATAAAGGGACTAACCCGAAGGAAGATTAATGAATGAATGAAATTTGCATGTCTAAAATCCAAACATAAGCCTGCATGTCATCTGATTTGCATATATTTCCTTATAGCCTATCAGATTTCTGTATGTGATTTGCATATATCGCGTATTTGCATTCATTTGCTTAACATATGCGTTGAAAATATTTTAACATATATCGAATTTAATTTATAACTTTTTAAATGTAATTTATTTTCTATGAAAATAAGGGACTAAGCCAAAGGAAAATGACTGAATGAATGTTTTTTTTTTAAATTTTTTTATGGGAAGACACGTAGCATGTTAGCATACAATTAGCATATTGTGTTTATATTCTGGGTTCGTCTTCATAGCTAAACAATATTTTTAACAACACAGATATATAATGTCTTTACATATCTCTTTCTTTATGTATTAGGCCACGTTAAGCGTTTGTTTTACATAATGTCTCTCACATATATTTTTTAATGGTGCGCAACACGGACTTTTTTCACGGTTGCGCTGCAGGTGCTGCTGTTTCTGCCCTCAGCATTCAAACCAAACACACACTCATTTAATTCCTCTCGCTTCAGTTTTCGACTATAAGCACAGCCCGTTTTCAGCAGTATCGGTAGCAGCACGTCTCAGATGTTCCTCCACCGTCTAATAAGGTAAAATGTGAAACCTGCTCCGTTATATCTGTCAGAAAGTGTCCTCGTGTCAAGGCTTCACTGCGTGTCTGAGTTTGGTGGAGTCTTTGGTGTTGCTCAGGGAATCCACCAGGACCAGAGGATTCTTCTGATGGTTCTCAATCATGTCACACACGCTGCTGAAACGCTTCACAGGCAGAAAAATCAGAGTTTAGAGACTGACAGATGACAACTTTCACCTCATATCTCCCATTGAGGTAAAGTTGGATTTATAGTCGCACATTCCTTCATTTAACGTTCCCTATATTATTTACTACGCTAATTTGAATATAGGGTCTGAAATCACATGTAAATTTGACTTGAAAACAACATTAGCACTATTTATTTGACTGTGAACAATGTTCTTTGATGTTTATTGGCTGCTAATATGATTTCACTATTTAGAATTTGCAAATCATACTTTTCTGAAATGATATTATTAAGGAGAAAGTCTGAATGTGCGCATATAAAACCAACTTTACCTCTGTATTTCTCCCCTGCCAAACCCAAATGCTTAATACTACAGGATTTGAGCCATAATTTAATTTAGATTTCATATCTATCTATCTATCTATCTATCATCTATCTATCTATCTATCTATCTATCTAACAATAATTAATATTTTATGACTTTTATAATGCAAAATAGGGGGAAAAACTTTATTGTTTAAACCTTATTGTCCTTTACCTCCTCTCCTTGTTTTTCTTTCCCCAGAGAGTATTGTTTGGTGGAAGCGATGTATCGGACAGGGATGTTGTACACTCGACTGTTGTAAAACACCACCAGTGTGTATGGCTGCTGCGCATCTACACCAGAGCTTTTCCTCAGCAGAAAAGAGCCATCCTAAAATAAAGGTAGGTACACGGGCATTATTTTGTGCATTAAGCAGACATCTTTACTCAACTATATGAGCATTACACAGTTTATCAGTTCAATTAACTTTGGTATATATATATATATATATATATATATATATATATATATATGGCTTATAGCCATCTGATATTCTGTATCCACCTACATAGTGACAGCAGATCAATAAACTCACTATTGTAGTTTTTTAGATTGCATCTATGCAGTTTATTTATAAAGATAGAGCCTATTTTAAAATATGTTTGCATTAATTTTGGATATTCAGTGCGTTGGCAGCCATCAGCATGTCAGAGCAATGAAATTGACGGTTAATGTTCTGCCACAAGATGGCAACAGAGTCCGCATAAGTTCTTAGAGGAGGAAAACTCGGTTTCTCAGCCAGTTTTGTCATCACTTTAGACATTACACTAGAGCAGTGGTCACCAAACTTGTTCCTGGAGGGCCGGTGTCCTGTAGATTTTAGCTCCAACCCTAATCAAACACACCTGAACAAGCTAATCAAGGTCTTACTTGGTATAATGAGCAGTGGTTTCTGCTGTTCTGAATTCAGCTGCAGATGTGAATGAATGGTGGAAGAAAGTAGTTCCTCATATAATAGGGTTTTTGCGACTCTGTGATTGATTTCCTTTTTTATATACAAGATTGTGCCTTCACACTGTTGTATAAACGCAATATCATTTCAAATAAATTTTTTTATTATTTTTTTTATTTGACCAATCAGATGGGGCTGTACTATCTTTAGTCCCGCCTCCCCAGTAGTTGCTGACCTGCTATTGGTTGCAGAGTCTCAAAGCTGAACCCAGAGCTGAAAAGAAACACTAATGGCGGGAAAATGACAACAGCTAATCTAAGGGCGTACTTGTACTATGCTATCTGAACCGAACCGTGCTCAGGCTGGATCATTTTGGCGTGGCGGTGGCCTGCGGCCTCGTGCCAACGCACACCTCCCACCAGTGCTGATATACAACCATATCGCACTGATATTGCTCTTATATCATACAAAGCTGCAGCTAAAAGTGTACTGTCAGTCTGTTATCAACATCCCATTTTGAAAGTCATGTTAATTTAATTTAACATGTCAGTTTTAATTTATATTATGCCAGTGCGTAAACTATTAAATTAAAGTAATTTAAAGTAATTTCCCCTAAAAGGGACAGTTCAGAGAAAATAAGTATAGTTAAAATATAAACATCAAGTCTGTAAAACAAACTATTATAATTCTGATGATTGTGCTGGTTGGTGTTGTATTGTCCGCTTTCAACTTGTGTATCAGCTTTAATGCGCATTTTAAATAAATAAATAAATAAATAAATAAATAAATAAGTAAAAATCAAAGCAGCTGTTTGCCATTGCGACAGCAATAAGATCCAATGGAACGCGTATGCTACGGCGATGACGCATAGCCCTACGCCGTCGGCGTCGCTGACGTGCACCTCTCAAAAAATGTAAATACACTTCGCAACAACGCGTAGCGCAATCTCTGTGATTGGTCGGCTTGGTGGCGCTGACGAGTCTGGGCGAGACCGAGAGCCGCGCGACTTGCGCAAGCCCAATGTAGCGATTGTTTACAAGTGTAGAGTCCCGTGAAGGAGCTCCGGATGGAAAGTTTTGTTTTGTGTTTACCTCATAGTTAAAGTTGTTGCACGTCCGCCGGTTCCTGCCTCAAAATGAGTGAGTTTGAGCCACTTGTACATCCCGGAAGAGTTCAGAAAGAACAAAACAGCAGCGAAGAAACTCGACACAGAGGAACATTTACACCTCACTGCCCACTAGCGTTTTGGAAGTGTTAATGCAGACCAACAGAGACAGCAGCAGAAGTATAAATGCACAGCTACATGCGTTGCATGCGCCGTTGGTTACGCCGGTCACTTGACGCAGAAGTATAAACCAGGCTTAAGCTCGTTGGTAACGTAGAGACACTGTCAACGGAGATGAGGATGCATGTGCAGTTTTATTAAGAGTAGTCGTACAGGCAGTGGTCAAACACAGGGGCAAATGGGTACATACAGGGAAATCCAGAAGCGTTGTCAGGTCATGGGCAAATGGTCGATACAGGCGGCAGACAACGTAAACGAGAACAAGGCAAGCGTCACACACGGAAAGACTAGACTAGAAGAGCGCTTCAAAATGTTGCAGCAATGGGAGTGTCAAAGTGAGCTGTTTATATAGTCTGTGTTATCAGTACTTAAGCAGCTCCCAGCTGTGTGTGTGATCTTATGCTGCGTTCACACCAGATGCGGAACGCGCATCAAGCGCGAGTGTTTTACATGTTAAGTCAATGCAAACGCGCGAATAGACATCCAGTGGTGCGATACGTGCGAATGGCGTGGCGCCAATTGAGCGTTTTGCGCGTTTGACATGCGAATCACTCGTTCGAAAATCTGAACTTCAGCGGACATTCGCGCCGCGTTAACCAATCCGGAGCTTGCTCTTGTGGGAGTGTGATTGTGACGTATCGCCTGTTGTCGGTGTCCCAGGGGAAATCCTCCAGCAGACACCGACAAGAAGTTCATCAAACTGGGCTGGGCTCAGTCAGAAGCACCGCTGAAAACCTCCATTAGCCAGGTTCAGTTTCTGGAGGAGTTTATGAGCTCACAGAGCTGGATGCACATCTGAAAGGATGTAGTGGACTCAGACACGGCCCTAAACGTATCGACGCTGTTTATCATCCTTCATAAAGCACATAAACACTGTTATTTTCTTCATAAAATCCATGTTAGCCATTTAGCTATGAAGCTAGAGTCACGGGGCAGACAGAAGCCCCGCCCATCACGCGAATCCACGTCTGTTCTGAAGTGGGTTGGACGCGTGAATGAAGCGAGTAACCTCAAATGTTCACGCGGCTGTTTACGTGCGAATAGCGCGATTTATCCGCGCGTTCCGCGTCTGGTGTGAACACAGCATTAGGAGAGCCGGAACAGGTGTGTGTGTGTGTGGTGCATGAAAGGATTTGTAGTCCATAAGGTGACAGGATTGTAGTCCCGGTGATAATGATTAAGGAATAGAAAGATAACACATTTAGTTTGACAGAGAAAATTTCGTGCTGCAACATTTCCACGTTTTTTTTAATTCTTTCTATTTTTCATGTTTTTCTTGAATTTTTCACTTTATTAAGCTTTTATTTGATATTTTCCCCAACATAAGTGTTTCCCTAACATAACTTTCCCTGACATTTTCCCTCTGTACTTTTTTATTCGATTAGTTCCAGTTTTGTCCTTGGTTCTGACTAATCTAATGTTTATGTACAAATATATTATTATACAGCAGGGGTGGCCAGCCACCTTCCTGCAGATTTTAGTTGCTACCCATATCAAACACACCTGAACCAATTAATTAGGACGTGAACACCACATGTTAATTACTAGCAGGTGTGTTTGATATAGGTTGCAACTGAAATCTTCAGGAAAGTGGCTCTCCAGGAACAGGGTTGGCTACCCCTGTTATAAAGCATCCTACAGGAAATATTAATTAAAAAGATAAGTCTGTGAGAAGTGTACTCATTTATGCTGAGAACTACACACACACACACACACACACACACACACACACTCACGAACACATTCACACCGCTCTGTAAAAAGCATCAGTGTTATGTGTGTGAGTGTAACTTGCCTTAGCGGAGCGTATGAGAGCGTCCTCTGCTGTTTTGCGGTCACACCCGCTGGCGTACCAAACCTTTTTATACACACCAGCTTCCTGTGAGAGAGCAGAACTCTTAGACTGACAGACGCTGTAATGCATGCTGGGATCATGATAATTATAGTATTTAAAATGCAAACTGACACACACACGTTTATGCCTATGCTCATTCTCTATCAAAGCCAAACCGTATACAGTGGAAGTCAAAATGATTCACCTTCCTGTGAATTAGTTTTTGTTTTTCCCAAATATTTCCCCAATGACGTTGAACAGATTCAGGAATTTTTTACAGTATTTTCTATAATATTTGTTCTTCTGGAGAAAGTCTTATTTGTTTTATTTCAGCTAGAATAAAAGCAGTTTTTAATTGTTTTAAAGCCATTTTAAGCTCAATATTATTAGCCTCCTTATGCAATATTAGTTTTGGATTGTCACCAGAACAAACCACTGTTATACAATGACTTACCTGATTACCCTAACTTTACCCTAATTACCCTAGTGAAGCCTTTAAATGTCACTTTAAGCTGTATAGAAGTGTCTTGAAGAATATCTAGTCTAATATTATTTACTGTCATCATGACAAGGAGAAAATAAATCAGTTATTTGAAAAGAGTTATGAAAACTATGATGATTAGAAATGTGTTGGAAAAATCTGCTCTCCGTTAATGAGAAATTGGGGAATAAAATATACAGGGGGACTAATAATTAAGGAGGGCTTCTAATTCTGACTTTGCTGTATATAAATTCTGTCATAATTTACTCTTATTCAAGTGGTTGTAAACTTCTATAAGTTCCTTTCTTCTGTTGAACACAAAGGAAGATGCTTTGAGGAATGGTGGGAATAAAACAGCCGTTGACTTCCATAGTTTTTTTTTTATTTCTACTATGGAAGTCAATGGCTATTAGTTTAAGTCAGTTTATGTCGATGTACTGTATGTCTGTGTGTTTTATATATATATATATATATATATATATATATATATATATATATAGATAAATCATTTTCTTTTTTGGCATATACTAGGGCTGCGCAATATTGGAGAAATCTGATATTGTGATATTTTGTTTTGATGCAATGTACACTCTGCCACTTTATTAGGTACACCTTACTAGTACCGGATTGGACTCCTTTTGCCTTCAGAACTGCCTTAATCCTTAATTGCAGAGATTCAACAAGTTGCTGGAAATATTCCTCAGAGATTTTGCTCCATATTGTCAGGATAGCATCACACAGTTGCTGCAAATTTGTCGGCTGCACATGCATGATCCCAATCTCCCGTTCCACCACATCCCAAAGCTGCTCTATTGGATTGAGCTCTGTTGACTGTGGAGGCCATTTGAGTTCAGTGAACTCATTGTCAAGTTCAAGAAAACAGTCTGAGATGATTCAGGCTTTATGACATGCTGCGTTATCCTGCTGGAAGTAGCCATCAGAAGATGGAGACACTGTGCTCATAAAGGGATGGACATGGTCAGTAACAATACTCAGGCTGTGGGGTTGACACCATGCTCAATTGGTGCAAATGAGCCCAAAGTGTGCCAAAAAATATTGCATTTGCGCCCACAGAACTGCCGCTCACTGGATATTTCCTCTTTGTCGGAGCATTCTCTTTAAACCCTAGAGATGATTGTGCATGAAAATCCCAGTAGATCAGTAGTTTCTGAAATACTCAGAGCAGCCCGTCTGGCAGAAACAACCATGCCATGTTCAAAGTCTCTTAAATCCCCTTTCTTCCCCATTCTAATGCTCACTTTGAACTGCAGCAGATCGTCTTGACCATGCCTACATGCATTGAGTTGCTGCCATGTGACTGGCTGATTAGAAATTTGCGTTAACAAGCAGTTAAACAGGTGTACCTAATAAAGTGGCCGGTGAGTGTACATTGTGATGTAGATTTACCAGATGATTTGCATAGCTCTATTTGAAAAGATTTCCTTCATTTAGTTGTATTTGGATGATCAAGTATTTTTCTATGCAGTGCATCTGCATAAATTAGAATAAATTACAAGCAAATGTAAATAAGACTAAAAATAAAAGTGAAATAATCAGTGCATTATGGTTTTCTAAGGAGTTAAACAGTTCAAATATAGAAATTGAACAATTAAATGTAAAAAAGCATGTCATTATTCTATAAATAACTATACAAAAATGTTTAATCTTATCTTTTAATCTTTAATAAATAATTAATCCTGCAATGTGACTTTTAAGGAGACACGTATTGCAATATCGATGCTCAAGTGGTATGCTGTACGTTGCAGTCCTAATATAAACAGTTTCTGATATTCGAAAGACACTTAGACTTTTGCACAGTACGATGTCAGCAAATCCATTTAAAATGAAGTGCCAGATTTTGACTGACCTCTTCAGCATCTTTCGCTGATCTGCTTTCTGAAGGCAGCGTCCCTCTGCCTGTGAAATGACAGAATAATATTAAACAACAGCTAGGAGCAGTAAGACTTTGACTAGCCTTGTTAGAATGTCTTGATGTTTACATGGACAGACAAAATGCATCTGGATCAAATTGCGAAATGAAAGTCTTACTCTGGGAGGGAAGCTGTCGGGGCAAAGGCATCCTAAAGCAGAAAAAGAGATGAATTCTTCGGTTTATTAAATTCTGATGACTTTTGTAAGTAGGACTGTGCGGTGTAAATATAGATTGCATGATGGAATAAACAGTCTGTTGTTTCATATTGTGCTCTTGTTTATTTTGTGGTGTTGTAAAAAATATTTATGCACGCTGCATACTTGAATGAATGTACAATGCTTACATTTTGCATTTCATTTAGTATTATTTTATTTCGGGTCTGCTTATGAAAGGGTTTAATATTTTATAATCATTTCATTCATTCATTTTTATTGTCGGCTTGGTCACTTTATTAATCCTGGGTCGCCACAGTGGAATAAACCGCCAACTTATCCAGCACGTTTTTTACGCTGCGGATGCCCTTCCGGCTGCAACCCATCTCTGGAAAACATCCACACACACATTCACACACACACTAATACACTACGGACAATTTAGCCTACCCAATTCACCTGTACAGCATGTCTTTGGACTGTGGGGGAAACCGGAGCACCCGGAGGAAACCCACGCGAAGGCAGGGAGAACATGCAAACTCCACACAGAAACGCCAATTGAGCCAAGGATCGACCCAGCAACCTTCTTGCTTTGAGGCGACAACACTACCTACTGCGCCACTGCCTCGCCTATTTTAGAATCATCTTTATATTATTTTTTTTCAGCATTCTCCGTCAAACATTTGCCCCGAAGTTTTACATAAAGGGAGAGAAGTAATACATTTAGTAATAGTACATTTCTGAATGTATAGCGGGGAAATAAGGATTGAACACATTATCATGTTTTTTGCTTGAAAAAAATATTTTTAAGGAGCTGTTGACCTGGAATTGAAGCTGGTTTTGGTAAAATCCCAAACAATACAAACATGAAAATGAAACTAAAAAGATTAGAAAAATGAGTTGTGTGTAATAACAGTGAAATGACACAAGAAGAGTGCTGAAAGGCATTTAATACTTTTATATAAGGGGTTCTCAACCTATTTCACTTTGGGGCCCACTTCTTTCTCCGATCAATTTTTGAAGGCCCACCTGCCTGGTATTTTCTCTAAAATGTTTGTATGAAATGCTCATTTAAACCTTTATTTATTTCATTTAAACCAAGAAACAACAACTATATATATATATATATATATATATATATATATATATATACAGGGCTCAACAATAAGGACTGCCCGGTGGCCCAGGGCCAGCGTGAGAGACGCTTGGGACAGTAAACAGGATCATTACTGGCCCGATTGGGACAGTACTGCCTTGTCACTAACATTTAATTTGTCTGCGACTATTTGTCAATTGCGTGGATTTTAAGTTTGTGCTTTTAAGTCTTTAAACATTACCTTCTCTGTGGTGTCGTAAACACCATATTGCTTTCCGGTTCCTCTTATCTGATTTGATGTTTTGAGCATGCAATTTTTTTCCATAATCTGGTAACAACCAGTACAGAGAAGGCTATAAGAAAATGTCAGTTTCTAATGTCTTGGAAGCAGACATTTACATGTGAACAACGCGACAAAAAAAAAAAAAAAGTGATGTTTTGCACAGTTTGCCGAAAATAATTTCCAGCTGTAATAAAATACCTCCACATTTCCCATACTACTCTTTTTGTTTGCATAACAATTTAATACATTTTTTTTTTAAAAGTTAAAATTTTTATAAAAAAAGTATACATTTTTAATTTTTAAAAAGTATTAAAATTGTAGATTCACAGACTTTATTTTTGACACATTATTTAAAATATGCGGCTAAAATATAGCTATTAACTTCCCATTTTTTTGGTGGGGCCAGTGAAAATTTTGGCAGGGCAAGTAAAAATCTGAACCACTGGCCCAATCAGACCAGTACAAAAAATCCTTTGAACGCAAAAAAAGCGTTGAACCCTGTATATAAATATATATATATATATATATATATATATATATATATATATATATATATATATATATATATATATATATATATATATATATATATATATATATATATATATATAAAGGGCTTTACATTAACACCCGCCAAATGCGGGTAGATTTCAGCTCTGGCGGGTTAGACAGACACCTCCACTAGCCACTGTGGCTGGTTGGAAATCTGCTACAAAGTATAGTTTTCTTAAAAGCAGGGTTCGAAAATAAGCATGGCCCAATACTCGTGCAAATGTGATATTAGAATCGAGAAGCAGCACGACTGACAAAAATAAATGTGTTTTTTGCAAAACAGCAAAAAAGAAGGTAAATACTGAACGAGAGGATGATCACTCACGTGCGTAGGTAATGTGATGTGATGCACACGCTTTTTAACAGTTTTATTTATATATATATATATATATACACACACATATGTATATGTATATATATATATATATATATATATATATATATATATATATATATATGTATGTGTGTGTATATATATATATATATATATATATTTATATATATAAAACATGACATTATATAGATATAATACAATATATAATATATGAGCAATATCACACGAGTAGCAGTGTGCTATTGCAATAAATCAGCACTGGTGGGAGGCTTAGCGCAACACCAGTGCTGATAAACAGCCATAGCACACTGCTACTCGTTTGATATTGTGTTTATACAACAGTTTGACGGCACAATCTTGTACATAAAAAAAAAAACTTTTATATTAGAAACTACTTTCTTCCACCATTCATTCACATTTACAGCTGACGTCAGAACAGCAGAAGCCGTTACTATTTCACCAACGTCACTTTAGAGCTAGTGTTTGAATTAATCTCTTTAGCGTAATGAGAAGCGGCGCTTCTTGTTTGTGACCCCCTTAAGGTGATGACAAAACGGCAAATTTTGCTCACATTTTAAGATTATAAGGCTGAACGTGACATGAAATGCCCTCCGTCTACAGGGATTTCTCACCAGACTGCTGTTGTGTTTGCGATAAGGAGGGACGAGGCTTAATCCAGCTTCTTATTCGCAGCTTCTTATTGAGTCTATCCGGTCCACCTTAAAAACCACGAGGCTTCCTCCTGCTTTTTAATTCGCACTCAAGAGAGCACTGAGCAAGGGCTTATTGTGCGGTTCTAGCACCATCTTGTGGATAGACAACGTCAACCGCCGCCGACGAGCTCTCAGAAATTGTAAATATTTTAAAATAGGCACTATTCTTACAAATAAACTGCATAGTTGCAATCTGAACAACTACATTCTCCACTAACAAAGCCTCAAAGTACATTTTGTTGTCAAACAGCAGTAATATTTGTCAAACTGTAGCCTGCTTGTTGCTTGCTGTATGTGGGCGGAGTAATACACAAAGGTGAAGGGTGTAGAGGCCTTTGTGTGATGTTAATGGCAAAATATTGCGCGGCTATCAGCCAATCAGATTTAAGAACCAGACAGAACTGTTGTATAAATGTATATATGTATTTTTTGCTTTTAAACAACACAGATATTAGAAAACTTACTAGAATTAATAATTATCTTCAACTCTACTTTTAAAATTAGTATTTAAGTTTAATGTGATAATGCATTATGTGATTTCTTTAGTAATTTCGGATATTTGTCAAATCTTTTGTTTTGATACATAAGATGTTTTTTTACTTGGCTCGATGGAATCCTGTTGGCGGCGGGGTCGATGTGGTTCTCGGTGGACTTCGTGCTGTAATAACTGGCGCCGTTTTATTCGAAGAAGCTGTAACAGATCACATGAACATTATAATAATAATAGCTTAAGATTGTGTAAAGGAGGAAATTCATGAAGCCTTCACATGCAAGTCAAAATAGCATACTATCATACTAGCACTGAAAAAAATGATTCAAAGATGATTCCTTGGATTTACTCAATTTTTTTAACGTCAGGTGGTTGTAAACAATTTATTTTGGCTGAATTTAAACAATTTAGCTTTTTATCCTAATTAATATCCACACTGTTCAGACTGCATTGTATAAAGGAAGTTCTTTTTGTAGAAATGCATATAGTACTCCTACTATATTTGTCCTATTTTTGGAATATGCTAATGGAGTTTACTTCTGCATAAGTCGGACCAAATCTGTCGTAGATGCTATTTGTGAAGTATGCTTATTTTTTGCATGCATGGAGCTGCCAATTTCATACTTTGTGTTTATTCGTATTAGTTTTGTTTCTTATCTTACGCTCTGTCTCTTTATCCTGTTATCCTGTTAGCTGCTATCATTATTTGTAGTCTCCACCCTCTTCTTATTTTCTATCTTTTTATTATGTTTCCTTTCACATACAGCTGAAGTCTGTATTGTTAGCCCCCTGAATATTTTTTCCCCAGTTTCTGTTTAACGGAGAGCAGATTTCTTCAACACATTTCTAATCATAATAGTTTTAATAACTCTTCTCTAATTGCTGATTTATTTTCTCTTTGCCATGATGACAGCACATAATATTAGACTAGATATTCTTCAATACACTAGTATTCAGCTTAAAGTGACATTTTAAAGGCTTAATTGTAGGGTAATTAGTAGGAATGTGAAAGATTCATAATGAAATGGAGCTTACCGTCACTGTTTTTGCGAGGAATGCTTGGTCTCTGCAATAATAGGAAGTATTTTCAATTAATATTTTGATTTGACATTAGTGTAGTGCAGGAACATTTTTAAAAATACATTTTTAAAATAAATTAAATGAGGAATTTACTTACCGATATCGAAGCAGGGTTTGTTTTTTTCCTAAAACAACAACAGCGATGAACTGTTAAATTCCTTTGACTCTGATATATATTCTGTATATTGTACAGACAGTGCTGTGCATATATGGGTTCATCTCTTATAGATCTCTATTTTATATTCATATTTTTGCTACAGGATGTTTTACAATAATACATTTGTGCTTATACATTAGATTAGTCAAATCTAACAAAATAACTGAAGATCACAGTACACAAATTAGCAAAGCCAGAGTAATATATTGGGGAAAAAACATTAAATAAAATGTTTATAAATAGGAAAAATAAAGACAAAAATAAAATAATCTAATTTTTTTTTTAATTTTGTAATTTGTATTTTTTTTGCAATAATTAATTTGAATTTAAGCATATTATTTTTGTATTCCTGAAGACATTCGGTGAAAACTGTTATTTTAATAAATGTAACTGTTTAATAAAACAGTTTGTTTAAATGCACTGAAATATATTGCCTATATATATGAGAAATGGATAAAAATATTTTATTCAAAGGAGGATTTACTCATTTATGCTGAGCTTTGTATTTGTGTATATATGTATATGTTTATATGTATATGTGTGTATGTGTGTATATGTACGTGTGTGTGTATGTATGCGTGTGTATGTGTGTGTTTGTGTGTGTGTGTGTGTGTGTGTGTGTGTGTGTGTGTGTGTGTATACATACACATATATATACATGTATACATATATATGTATACTTATACATATATATGTATAAGTGTGTAATATATACACACACACAAACAACTTTTTCCGATAAGGGATTTTTCACAGTATTTCCTATAATATTTTTTCTTCTGGAGAAAGTTTTATTTGTTTTATTTTGGCTATGATAAATGCAGTTTTTAATTGTTTTAAAGCTCAATATTATTAGCCCTCTTAAGCAATATTAGTTTTGGATTGTCACCAGAACAAACCACTGTTATACAATGACTTGCCTGATCACCCTAAGTTTACCCTGATTAACCTAGTTAAGCCTTTAAATGTCACTTTAAGCTGTATAGAAGGGTCTTGAAGAATATCAGGTCTAATATTATGTGCTGTCATCATGGCAAAGAGAAAAGAAATTAGAAATGAGTTATTAAAATTATTATGATTTGAAATGTGTTGAAGAAATCTGCTCTCCGTTAAACAGAAATTGGGGAAAAAATTAAGGGCTAATAATTCTGACTTCAACTGTATATGTTAAATGTTAGTTACTGGTTTACAGCTCTTACAGATCTCGAGGTCGAGGTGTTGGTATTGATGGTCTTCTGGTCTCCGTGTTCTCCTCTGGGTTTTCATTTACACCTGATATAAATCAGACAAGCATTCATTTGGTTGGTTATACATGTGCTGTATCCAAAATCGCTCCCTATACCCTCATTCACTGTTGCCTACATTGAAATTCCTACAAGGAGTACATTGATTCCTTGGATTCAAAAAATTTGTTTAAGTGGTTGTAAATAAATTCAGCCCAAGTAAGTTATTTACCACCACTTAACAAACAAATTAAGTTGGACATTACTAAATTGAATTTGTTTAAATGCAACACATCTAAAATGCTGGCAACAATTTAGCAGAAATCATATATTTTAATGTACATTAGTCCACTAATATAGTCTAGTTAAAGAGCACCTATGATGCAAAATCAAATTTTTTAAGCTGTTTAGACAACTGGGTATAGTATATATAACCAGATGCATCCGATTTTTAACTTCTTGTTCAGACCCTGTGATGGTCATTTAACCCTCAGTAGTGAGCTGTCTGCTAGTAATCAAACGAAAACTTTTGAGGTCAGTCATAAATACAAACGGAACTATATGAGCACTATTTGAGAGTGTAGAGAGCGATTTCAGATACAGCCTTGGATATAGTTTTTTGTATTTTCTGCATTTGTTTGTTCAGGTTTAGTGTGTAATACTCACTTTCATCTGTGTCACACACTTCATACTCGTCCTCTGATTCAGGTTTCTTTCAGACACAATAAAACAAAAACATCACTGTAAAAGAGATCTGTTAATGAACCCTGTCTGTGTTTTAGTGTGTGCTTTGCGATGGTGAATTGCGTTATGCAATGTTGATCTCTGCTCTGTTGACTTTTGATTTGACTTTTATTGACATTTTAGTTGTTTAAAATATTATTAGAAATAATATTTAGTGAAATAAGTCTGTAAAATAGCAGAAAATGTACTGCCGGTTTATTACAGGGTTTCTGTAATGCAATATACAACACAAACCCAAACTATACAGCACTGTAAACTATTACACATGTCAATAAAAGTCACTTTTTACAACTTTTCAAGGTTAGAGTTGTTGGAAGAGAGCTCCAGATCCCATAAAGCAATTCAAAAGCAGGAAAAAATTAACAAATAAAAACATGAAGCACAAAATACACAAAACTCAGTACAATTGTCCAGAGGTTATGCAAAGGTAAATTATAAAAATCAAATAAAAAAACACCAATACAAGTTCACTTTCAACTTGCGTGTGCACATCCATTTGCTTATTTATATTTCAATCAAATATACAACCACACAGTGCATATAGAGGACAAAATGTGATTCATTCATTCATTTTCTTTTTTAGCTTCCCTTTATTTAGCTTTTCTTTTAGTCCCTTTATTAATCTGGGGTCGCCATAGCGGAGTGAACCGCCAACTTATCCAGCATATGTTTTACACAGCGGATGCCCTTCCAGCTGCAACCCATCACTGGGATAACACACACACATACACTCATACACTACGGACAACTTAGCCTACCCAATTCACCTGTACTGCATGTGTTTGGACTGTGGGGGAAACCGGAGCACCCGGAAGAAACCCACATGAACGCAGGGAAAACATTCAAACTCCACACAGAAATGCCAACTGACCCAGCTGAGACTCGAACCAGTGGCCTTCTTGCTGTGAGGTTTCTGCACTACCTACTGTGCCACCGCGACGCCCACAAAATGTGATATAATTGGTTAAAACAAGTATAAATTCTACATTACAACCTAAAACAAAATAAAAATGTTTCTAGTATTTTGCTGCAGTGGAAGTTCTCGCATATTACTATTATTATTTTTAATAATTGATTTTAAATGATTATAAGTGATAAATAAATAGGTAGTATATCTATATGATTTATCATATTTGTAATTTTTCAATGCTTTTTAAGAAATGTATTAAAAGTAACAAGCTTTAATAACATAAAATGTAATATTAAAAACTAGCTAGACATGTCTTGAATATATTATCTAAAGCCAGGGCAAATGAGATAATTGGTTAAAAAAAACAACTTAAAAATTAATATAGTTATGTAATATAAATAAGTTCTGGCGTATTATATTAAGGACTCATAGATACTCACTGTAGTTATTGTTGGTCTTCTGGTCTGCTGTCTGTACAAATACAAAGCAGATGCATTTCATTAGTGCATGTTTTTTTTGAGTACACGTATGTGACATTTTACATGAAGGATTATAAGAGAACCAAAATGCAACACAAATGTAACTAAGGGCGCACTCACACTATTGCTGCGTCCCAAATGGCACGCTATACACTCTGCACTCATGCACCATGTACTTATGCACTTACACACTCAACAGGATAGTATATGTATGTAGTGTCGTCCCAAATGGCACACTGTTTTTTTACTAAGCGGAAATTCAAACCGTTTCCCTGATGACGTTTGACGGTCGCCAAATCAGTGAAATAAACGACCGAATTATCAAATAATACCTGCCGCGACTATTGCAGCATTCACCATCGGGAGGCGCTATAATCACTCTCGTAGGAGAATTTTGCTTTCACCATCCAAAATAAAGTTATTCAACATGTGCGTCTGATAGCTCCGCCCCTTCCGCTATGTAAGCAAACCTGTGGTCGTTGAGTGTGTGAAGTGTCCATCATTACACACTTCATTTTAGTGGCTGAATGAGTGCATCATCCGAGTAATTAAAGTGCACTTTACACTATTTAACTACAAAATGGCGTAGAATAGTGCATAAGTATGCGATTTGGGACGCAGCTTATGCCACAGGTGTCAAACTCAGTTCCTCGAGGGCCGCAGCTCTGCACAGTTTAGTTCCAACCCTAATTAAACACACCTGATCAAACTAATTGAGTCCTTCAGGCTTGTTTGAAACCTACAGGTAAGTGTGTTGGAGCAGGGTTGGAACTAAACTGTGCAGGGCTGCGGCCCTCCAGGAATTGAGTTTGACACCCCTGCACTATGCTATCCGAACCCAGGCCCGTTTCCCGGATCGTTTGAGAAGTATGAGTGCACTGAATCGGGCTTAGGCACGGTTCACTTGGCCGGCCCTGGCCCGGTTGGAAGAGGTGTGCCAGTTCACTTGGGCTTTGGCGCGGTACGCTTGTGTGTGAGTGCAAAATGCACCTAAGCCCTAAACTGAAAGCGAGACGTGACTTTTAAGGGGTTGTTTCATATGGATTTATTAATTATTCTTACTGTTCAATGAACATAAACTGTCGTAGTTTATTAAAGACGCAAAACCCCTCACTGCACGACAGCTGCGCCTTTAGCAGACCTTTATGAGAGCTTTATGACTGTTTATAAGCGTCAAAAGTGGCTGATCTGTTCGGCGAAATATTTGACTCTGTATCACCTCATGCCAAACGACTAAAACAATATAACTAGAGAAATCTCCACTAAGCTGACGAGAGCTTTAACTGAACAGAGCAGCATCGATGACGTAAGCGTGCCCAGGCCTGAATGTAATGTGAGTGCGGGTTGTCTGGGGAGACGGGAGAGGGGGCAAGTGTGCTTTGGCCCGGTTCAAGGCTGGTTTATACTTCTGCATCAAGTGACCTTCGTAACCCACGGCGCATGCAACGCGCATAGCTGTGCATTTATACTTCTGCGCGCTGTCTCTGTTGGTCTGCATTACACTTCCGAAACAGTAGTTGGCAGTGAGGTGTAAATGTTCCTCTGTGTCGAGTTTCTTCTCTGCTGTTTTGCTTTTCCTGAACACTTCCTGGATGTACAAGTGGCTCAAACTTGCTCATTTTGAGGCAGGAACCGGCGGACGTGCAACAACTTTAACTATGAGGTAAAGACAGAACAAAACTTTCCATCCGGAGCTCCTTCACGGGACTCCACACTTGTAAACAATCGCTACATTGGGTTCGCGCCATTCGCGCGGCTCTCGGTCCCGCCTCGACTCGTCAGCGCTACCAAGCCGACCAATCACAGAGCTTGTGCTACGCGTCGTTGCGACGTATAGTTACATTTTTTGAGAGGTGCACGTCAGCGACACTGACGGCCACGGCGAAGGGCTATGCGTCAGCGCTGTAGCATACGCGTGCGCTTGACGCAGAAGTATAAATCAGCCTTAAGGGTGTACTCGGGCTATCGGAACTGTGCCCAGGCACATTTGACCCCCATTTCCCAGTTCGTTTGACAAGTATGAGTACTTCAAATTGGGCCTAGGTCCAGTTCAATTGGCCGGCCCTTCCCCGATTAGAGGAGGTGTGCCTTAGCGCGGTCTGGTTTGGCTTTGGCGCTATGCTTGTAGTGCGAGTGCAAAACTGAAGACGCAACATCACTTTTAGTGATAGGGACTGTTTCATATGGATTTATTAATCATTCTTACTGTTCAGTGAATGCACAGTGTCGTAGGTTATAAAAGACGCAAACCCCTTACTGCACGTCAGTTGCACCTTCAGCAAACCTCCTAATTCCTGCAGCACGAGAGCTTTATGATCATTTATGAGCGTCAAAATGCTGGATCTGTTCAGCAAAAGATTTCACTGCATATCAAAGACTTAAAATAATACACAACGATATAACTAAAGTAATGTGCTGAGTGAGAGCACTTCTGTTAAACTGAACAGTCGCATCATCGATGACTTAAGTGTGCAGCGGCTCGGAATGTAAAATACAGTGTGAGTGCGGGCCGAGGAGGAGAGTGGACAGGGGACAATTGTGCCTGGGAACAGTTTAAGACAGCCGTGCCTAGTATGAGTGCCCTAAGTAATGCAATTAGCTTTTTGGGGAGCTCAATATTGTAATGCATTACATTCAAAAGTAACTTTCCCCAACACCGGTCAAGACAGTCAGGTATTGTGAATTGCTTACACAGTCCTAAAAGCTAATCTGGATGTTTTGTAGTGGTCATGAGGTAATGATGCTTGTGTAATACCGTGGACTGGCTTTAGGAGGCGCCATCTGTGTGTTGGGCTGTAGAGTTGTGGGACTCCTGTAGATCAGAAAACATCATTTATTTATATATGGATGCAGGACTTAAACAGAACAGGGAAGCAGGTGCTGTTTCTCTCCCTAACTAAAGACATGAGGAAGTGCAGGGCTGAGTAACCTAAAAAGGGCAAACACACAGCAGATAACCAAATGTAGAGTGTTTAGGTGGGAGCTGGTTGTGTCCTGTTCTAATTGTAGCATACATACATTTGTTTTATTATGAGTACATGATGCTGTTTATGTAATCACTGCAATAATTGCTTTATTACTGTTCTTAAAGTAGGCTATTTAGTAGGCTAAGATTTGTAATATAAATAAAATACAAAAAAGATGGCTTATTTTGAAGTGGTTTTACCTTTTCTTAGATTCAGAATTCTCCTGAAATTGAACACAAACATGTATTTAGGACCATGCAAACAACCACCACAATCAGCGTGACTACGATAACAAAAATCATTATAAAGAGTTACAATCAATCCGCGTAAATAGGGAATATATTTAAATAATTTGTCATATTTGTAATAACTTTCAATGCTTTTTAATAAATGTATTAATAATATCTAGCTTTAATAACTTTACATGTAACTTTGAATAACAAGCTAGACAGGTCTTGAATATATTAGGGGTGATACAGTTGAAAGCAGAAGTTTACACACACTCTAAAAAAGGAGCATAACCATTTTTTAAAAATGTCTGATGGTAAATCATACTAAACGTTTACTATTTTAGGTCTGTTAGCATTACCTAATTGATTTACATTTGCTAAATGCTTGAAAAATTTGAGAATTTGTTTTGTTGAGTTTTTATTTATTCATTTCTCGTTAGTCAAGTTTACACACATTTCCTTGATATTTGTTTAGCTTTGCTTTTAAACTGTTTAACTTTGGTCAAATGTTTTGGATCTCCTTCCACAAGCTTCTCGCAGTAGTTTGCAGGAATTTTAGCCAATTCCTTTTGACAGAATCGGTGTAACTGAGTCAGATTTGTAGGCTGTCTTGCTCGCACAAGCTTTTTCAACACAGTTTTTCTATAGGATTGAGATCAGGGCTTTGTGATGGCCACTCCAAAATATTCACTCTGTTGTCCTTAAAGCACATTTAAACTAATTTGGCAGTATGCTTAGGGTCATGGTCTGTTTGTGAGACCCATTTGTGGCCAAGTTTTAATTTCCTGGCTGATGTCTTGAGATGTTGCTTCAGTATTTCTCCATAATCTTCTCTTCGTTTAAGTAAACGGGGGCTAATAATTCAGGGGGCTATTAATTCTGACTTCAACTGAATGTGATGTAGGGCTTATTTTTATTAATATTGTTTGTGTCTAGCACTTTGGGCAACGTTGTGTTTTAAAAAATGTGCTAGCTAACTAACTAACTGATTAGCTAACTAACATAATTTAAAATGCAGGCAGATTAATGTTTTTAATTTTATTTTGCAATGGATAAGTACATTAGTGTTGATTAAAGCTCACCTTCATGTCAGGAATCTCATAGAAATCTGAAAAGCAGAATTAGAGCACAGTCAATCAATATTTGATCTCTGAAATCTTCTGAAACTGCTGGAGATAATGTGCAGAATCTCTCACCGGGACTATTTGCATGAGCAGAAACACAGGGTTTGACTCCTCTGTTCACCACCGGCTCTGTAAATAGACATTATGCATCATTAGTATTTTCTCTAATGTTTACAAACGTAACTTTTCAAGGCATGTAAAAGTACACACTTTAATCGCAATTTAATAGGATTTTTAAAAATTGCTTATTGAAAATTTAATTGAAGCAGACTTCAAAATGTGTGTACATATTTTTTTTTTGGAGGACCAAAAACTAGATATTACAAGATATTTTTCAAGATACTAGTATTCAGCTTAAAGTGACATTTAAAAGCTTAACTAGGGTAAAGTTAAGGTAATTAGGCAAGTTATTATTATTAAGTATAACAGTGGTTTGTTCTGGAGACAATCCAAAAACGGATATTGCTTGTAACGGCGGGGAGTGACGCACACAACTGGGGTAAGATCCAAATGCAAGTTTATTCTTAGTAAGGCAAGCAATGGTCAATACAGGTGCAAACGGGCATGTGCAGGCAATCCAGAATCGTAGTCAATAAACAGGCTATAGGTCGTAAGGCAGGCGGCTAAACAGGAGAACAAGTATAATCTAGGCTAGGGTTTAAACACGGAGATACAAGACAGGGAAAACGCAGTGTAGTGTCATCACAGTGTAGTGTCATCACAGGATAAACAAGACTCGGCAGTGAGAAAGGGTGAATGAGTGGTTTATGTAGTGAATGCAATCAGTCTTTGATAGTCCTCAGGTGTTGCGAGTGTAATCCAGTCTAGATGAGTGAGCATGGGTGTCTGGGCGAAGTGCATGTCTGAATATGTAGTCCAGGAAAAGGCGGAAGTGTAGTCCATGGTTATTGCGTGGGAACCAGCGATCTATGGAGAACGATCGCTGGTTATCGTGACACTGCTTAAGGGGGCTAATAATATTGACCTTAAAATGGCTTTAAAACAATTTAAACAGCTTTTATTCTGCTTTCTGAAAATGATGAGCTTTTAATTAAGCCCAAATTCTGCTTTTTTTCTCTCGCCGAAATAAAACAAATAAGACTTTCTCCAGAAGAAAAAATATTAGAGAAAATACTGTAAAAAAATTTGGAAAACTTTTGGAAAAAATTTCAAAAGAAAATGATAATAATTGGTTGACCTGCTGTCGCTTTACAGCAAGAAATTCGCTGGTTTCAGCCTCGGCCGGATCAGTTGGCATTTTTGTGTTGAGTTTGCATGTTCTCCCAGTGTTCGCGTTGGTTTTCTCCGGGTGCTCCGGTTTCCCCCACAGTCCAAAGACATGCAGTACAGGTGAATTGGGTAGGCTAAATTGTCCGTAGTGTATGAGTATGTATGGATGTTCCCAGAGATGGGTTGCAGCTAGGAGGGCATCAGCTGCATAAAACATATGCTGGATGAGTTGGTGGTTCATTCCGCTGTGACGACCCTGGATTAATAAAGGGACTAAGCCGACAATAAAATAAATGAATGAATAATAATAACTTTTGACTTCAGCTGTGCACGTCTTACTTGTCAGTGTTCTCTCCGTGGGGTCGATGTAATTATCGTCCTCCACTTGGTCTTCTGGCTCGATGTAGTCGTCCTGGACAGACAGAGTGTTGTTTGTTGTGTGTTTGTGGTTTTGCTGGGTTGTGAATATAAGGGTCAGTGCTGAGCTGTTTTTACCTCGTCCTCCTCCACTGCTAGCCTGCGCTGGGTTGTTTGCTGGGTTGTGTGTCTGTGTTGAGGATATAAAGGTTGGTTGGGTTTTGGCGCTCGACCACGACAGCTGTCTGATGCAGAAAAAAACACATACACATCTACTTTCACATCATTGCTAAACACAGCTTTACTTTTGTACAGATTAACCTTTCAGGGATCTGTTTTAACAATCTAGTCTAAAGCGCAGGGCGCAAAAGCATTAAGAACGTGTCCGAATCCACTTTTACTATTTTAATGATGGATAAATGCGCTCTGCACCCCGGCGCATGGTCTAACAGGGTTGTGCTTATTCTCTTAATATTCTCTTAAGTCTCATCTCTCATTCCCTATAAGAGCCAGTTGTGTCGCTCCATGGTGCATTTGCTGTTTACAAGGCGGACTTTGTAAGAGGAAAAAACTGAACGCTTCACTAGCGAGAAAACAGTTAAACAGAGCATCTGCAGCGCGAGGATAAAGAACGAGCCTCCTCCATTCAGCCTCTTTACTTTCACTTTACTTTACTTTTAGGGTGTTTTCACAATTGATTCAGTTGTCTAGACCGTACCCAAGTTCGATTGTCCCCCCCCCCTTGCCACCTTCTCGGTTGGTTTGTGGTTTGTGTTTTTCTTTCTGAACCCAGGGACGCTTGCATCATCAGGCTGCTGTTGTGTGTACGGCTGTTGCTAGGGGAAGGACACGGAAGCAAAGTGCCAAAATGGAAAGACTTCTGCACATCATGGTCTTTCTGCTTTTACTGAATGTTTTAGTTAGGGACTTACAGAAAGCGACTCGTGTCTATCTGCCTCAAAAATATTATAAACATTCAGGGCATAACTACATGTGTGCAGAAGCTGTTTTTTGGAGAAGACAAGCAGACATTATCACTAGAGCTGTGAACCTACACTAGTCTCACGGTTCAGTTCGGTTATGATTATCATGCCATCGATTCAGTTCAATTCGATATTTCGGTGCATCACGGTGCACTGACGATGCTTTTTTATTTTCTTCACAGCAGCAGCTCTTGTATTAAAATGTATGAATATATTTATATTTATATAGGCTATTATTTGTAATACAATTGTGTCATTTAATACAAACAGTCAGATATATAAACTGTAGCTTTCAAAAAAACGAGCATTAAGCAAATAATATAAACAAATATAAATATCCAGCTCAATTTCTGATCCTTGTCTAGTTCTCTTACACCTCTTTGATTGGTCACACCCTCAACAAAAACGGTTGCGATTGGCTCTTGCGCGCTGCACTCTTCAGATGAATGATAAGCGGCAGGCGGCAGCGGCGATCTCACAGCTGATCTATGATAGACACGGTGGAGAAAACTCTGCAGACACGCGTCGTTTCTGTATCCAAAAGTAACGCTGTAAAACAGCCGAGAGGAGAAGAAAAGCCACGCCAGCAGGTCAAATGGGCCACTGTGTGTGTGTGAGAAAGAGAGAGAGACGGAGGCAGAGCGAGCGAGAGAGAGAGAGAGAAAGCGAGAGAGAGATGGGGTAGGCTACTTTCATTCTCAAACACACACAGTGAAATTGTGCACAGTTCATGAGTAGTAAGTAGTTAGAGCGTTGTAAATACTCGCGATCGTCTCGCTCGCGACAGAGCGCATATGAGGTAAATGACGTCAGTAATAACCGGTTATGATTATTACTGAACCGATACCGAATTGTCCGCGTCTGCATCGCGGTGCATTGAAGAAACGATTAATTTTGACACCCCTAATTATCACTGTGATTGCCCTGGCTCAGTCCCACTTGTCACCAAGGTACAATATGTGACACACACACACACACACACACACACACACACACACACACGCTTGATTGAACTCTATGAAAACGATAGTTTTTTGGACAGTTGGCGGTTCACTTCTGTAGTTTGGTATGATTGCATTCATACCATAAGTAAATCGGACCAGAATTTGCATGAGCCGTACCTCAGACCACATCTTACAGATGGACTCTGGTATGGTTCACAGGTTCAGAAGACGCGTTCACATTAGCTAAACGCACTGTACTCTGACATCAAATGAACCCAGGTGCGGACCTAAAGTGCTAGTGTGAAAGCAGCTTTACTCTTTAGTCCTTTACTTTGGTGGAGTGAGGAAACGGTGGAAACTCTCTCCACTGAACACATCCATTAGCCCACATGTTTAATTTCCTTTGTTAAGCACAAAGATTTGTGTCTAAACTTTTTTTAAATTCAGTTCTGATCTCCAGCAAAGGAATAAATGAACAATAATAATGAAGTGTGGTCAGAAAACTGAGCTATATCCAAACACACGTCCTGTTCTTATCCACATATGCTGATGCAGACGTCTCCAAAACCCCACAGCTGCACACATCTACACTTGTGTTTATTAAAACAAATATAAATCTGCATATAATCAATAATACAGCTGATAATAATCACATTATACAGATGCAGATTGTCATGAATGAACTGAAGAAGCCCCCCGAGGTGGAGAAGGCATGGAGGCAGTGCTGTTTATATTGATGTAGGAAATCATCATTTCTGGATCATTTTAATGCTTTAATTGTTTTCATCTGTAAAGATATTTGTGTCTTGCTGTTCATCCTGTGTGTGTTCAGCAGTGTGTAAGTGTTTGGACCTGCATAGCAGCTTTTAGTTGGTCAATGGCGCTTTACAATGCTGCTTAACACGCCTCCTTTATAGACCAGCACACCCATGAGTCCACTAAGTGGCGCAAATAGATTTGCTGTGTAAACAACATTGCACAAAACCTAAAAGTTAGTATTGTGCTAGTCTGAAAATAGCAACAAATTGTGCCAAACACTCCCTGCACCGGGTGTATTATAGCGCCCCAGATCTTAAACGCTGCGATTTAATAATGTAACTACAGCAGAAGTGCTTAAACTGGCTGAATGAAAACTAAAAGTCTCCCTGCACAAACCCTATTCAAAAGTATAAATTAAATCAAATAAAAACATGAAGCAAAATATGGAAAACTGCTGTTCTACACAGAGTTGAGTGTAGTTTGAGTGCGACTCACCCACATATTCTCCTCTGGGGTTTGTGATGGACGGACACACAGTGAAGGGCTTCATATTGTGGGCTTCAGATCTGGGCGGAGGCTCGTAACTGTCGTCATGATCGCCCTGCGGGTCCTCATACGTGTCGCTGTCCTGGAATATTCCACAAGTGTAACACGTTTGTTTTTATATTGCTGTGTGCTACAATATAAATTAAAATTTCGATATGTTTTTTGTATTTGTAGTGGTCTTTTGCTGGATAAGTTCTTTTCCGTGAGCATTTGAGTGTATAGCCAAATTAGAGTGATCATACGTCCTATCTGTCACACACATATCCTTTTTTTGGCACTTGAAAAAATTGTCCCACTTATTATACACCTGCTTGCCACAGATTATGAAAACTAGACAAAATATTGTTCTGAGCTGTAATAGTTAATTAATTCTTTAAAAGCAAAGCTGACTGAAATGAGAACCACAGAATGAGGTATCCAGTAGAGATCTGCGCGGGACTAAATTTGTGTGTGTGTGTGTGTGTGTGTGTGTGTGTGTGTGTGCGTGTGTGTATATATGTATGTATATATGTGTATATATATATATATATATATATATATATATATATATATATATATATATATATATATATACAGTGAGAGTAAAAAGTATTTGATCCCTTGCTGATTTTGTTGGTTTGCCCACTAATAAAGACATGATCATTCTGTACTTTTAATGGTAGATGTGTTCTAACATGGAGAGACAGAATATCAAAAAGAAAATCCAGAAAATAACTGTAAAGAAAATATTTTAATTAATTTGTATTTCATTAAGGGAAATAAGTATTTGATCCCTTTAGCCAAAAGCACCTTATACTTGGTGGCACAGCCTTTGTTTGCAAGCACAGCGGACAGACGTTTGTTGTACTTAACCACAAGGTTAGCACACATATCAGGGGGAATTTTGGCCCACTCTTCTTTGCAGATCCTCTCTAAATCATTAAGGTTGGTGGGCTGTCGCTTGGCAACTCGGACCTTCAGCTCCCTCCATAGATTTTCGATTGGATTGAGGTCCGGAGACTGGCTGGGCCACTCCATGACCTTAATGTGGTTCTTCTTGATCCACTCCTTTGTTGCCTTTTCTGTATGCTTCGGGTCGTTGTCATGTTGGAAGACCCAACCACGGCCCATTTTCAACTTCGTGGCAGAGGAGAGGAGGTTGTCCCCCAGGACTGCACAGTACATGGCTCCATCCATCTTCCCACTGATGCGGTGAAGTAGCCCTGTGCCCTTGGCAGAGAAACAACCCCAAAACATAATGCTTCCACCTCCATGCTTGATGGTGGGTACAGTGTTCCTGGGGTCATAGGCAGCATTTTTCTTCCTCCACACATGACGAGTAGAGTTTAGGCCAAATAGTTCAATTTTGGTCTCATCTGACCACAGAACCTTCTCCCAATCACTTTGTACATCTTTGAGGTGATCATTGGCATACTTTAGGCGGGCCTTCACATGTGCCTTCTTAAGCAGGGGTACCTTTAGGGTACTGCAGGATTTTAATCCATTGCGGCGCAAAGTGTTGCCAATTGTGTTCCTGGTGACTGTGGTCCCAGCTGCCTTAAGGTCATTTACTAACTCCCGCTGTGTGGTTGCAGGCCGATTTCTCACAGTTCTCATGATCATTGCCACCCCACGAGGTGAAATCTTTTGTGGAGCACCAGACCGAGGTCTATTGATGGTCAGGTTTTACTTCTTAAATTTTCTCACAATTGCACCAACTGTTGTTACTTTAAAACCCAGCATCTTGCTGATGTTTTTGTAGCCCGTTCCAGATTTGTGCAGGTCAACAATCCTGTCTCTGAGGTCCTGAGAGAGTTCTTTGGTCTTAACCATGTTGGAGAGTTTGGAATCTGTCTGATTGTCTGATTCTGTGAACACGTGTCTTTCACACAGGTGTTTAGTTAGAACAGGTGTCTTCAATTCAGGTAACAAGTTAATTGGGAGTCTCTAACTGGTCTGTGAAAGCCAGAACTCCTAATGCATACTAGGGGATCAAATACTTATTTCCCTCAATGAAATACACATCAATTAATATATATTCTTTAAAGTTATTTTCTGGATTTTCTTTTTTATACTCTGTCTCGCCATGTTAGAATACATCTACCATTAAAAGTACAGAATGATCAGGTCTTTATTAGTGGGCAAACCAACAAAAGCAGCAAAGGATCAAATACTTTTTACTCTCACTGTATATATATATATATATATATATATATATATATATATATATCTTTATATATATGTGTAGTATGAACTAAAATTGTATGTATACACACACACACACACACACACACACACACACACATATATATATATATATATATATATATATATATTTGTGTGTATACATACAATTTTTGTTCATACTACACGCATTCAGATATATATATATATATATATATATATATATATATATATATACATATATTTTATTTTAGAAGTGTCTAAAATGTTAGAAGTTTTATGACTTTATTGACTCCCGCTGTATTTAATGAAGTTTGATTGGCTTGCACGAATCTACTAGTGGTTTTAGTGTCTTATTTATTCGGGCACTGTAGGCCTAGATAAGCATGAAAACACATTCAGCAAAATGATATAATTATTGTTGTTATTGAAACAGTCTGTAATGCACTTACAAAGTCTGAGTCAGAGTATCTGTCAGCATCCGGAGCTTCATCTAGAAATGACACAGGTTATGAGGTCAGACACTAAAAATAAAACATCGCCAAATCCTATAAAACCCTGCGCTAATGCTTAATAATACTAACTAATAAATGATTAAATAAAATAAATAAGAGTAATAAAGTAAATATAATAAAAAAAATAAAATACAAATAAAATAAAATACAGCACTAACACATGAAAAAACAATGTAGCGAACAAATAAACTAATAAACAGATGAATAAATAATTTAATTTAATTTAAAATGAACATAAATAAATAAAAAAACATACATGAACGAACAAATGAAGATTATGAACTAATAAACGAATGATTAAATAAATTAAATTACATTTAAAATTAATAAGTAAATATAAATAATACATGAACAAAAGAACAAACAAAAAATTTAACAAACGAATGAATGATTTAGCAAATAAATAAAGAAAATATAATAAAATTACAATTGTGTGTGTGTGTGTGTGTGTGTGTGTGTGTGTGCGCGCTTGCATGGCATGTATGATATGTTACGATATATAACTATACATATCCTAATGTATATGTGTGTGTATGTGTGTGTGTGTGTGTGTGTGTATATATATATATATAAAGTGTGTTTAGGTGTTACCCAGCACTGGGTTGCGGCTGGAAGGGCATCCACTGTGTAAAACATATGCTGGAATAGTTGGCGGTTAATTCCGCTGTCCCCTATTAAATAAGAGACTTAGCTGATGGAAAATGCATGAATGAATGATCTTCTCTTGTGGATACACATGTTGTGCATGACTGTTTGAGGCACATAAAGTTTTAGATGACTTCTCCTTGCTGACTGCACTGAATTGCATCATAAATTATTTTATAAACGGCAGAAAAAGCTGCACTGTTCTCCCCGCTCCACGGTTTCTCCTTCAGAGAGTTTTTCAGCTTGCCTTGATAGTCTCTTGCTGGAACTTTGGGCGGCTCTTTCTTCTTCAGCCTGAAACAAAAGTGAAAACAGAGCAGATAAATGAGCGGTTTTCCACTATTGTTGATATCAGCAGGCTGTGGATTAGCGATAGTGTGCTGACTGGATTACATTTTCCGTCCGTCAGCAGCATTTAAACACATGATTGCATGTTATCTGTACTACATATATGAAAGCGCAAACAGAAACGCACAGATTTGCAGCAGAATAATGAGACGTTTGGAGAAGGTAAAAGCCAGATTATAGTCTTAAGTCTTTCTAAAGACACCACAAAGCTCTTGTAGACGTTTCTGTGGGCGTCTGGAGCCGTTTCAATACTTGCAGACTGAAAATAAAAGACAAACTCTGAGCTGTGGGAGCTGCTGTAATAGTTTTATTTGTCATTAAAGATTAAATAAAACGCAGTCAAGCATGAAATTATTCACACCCCTGTTCAGATGTAAATAAACACAATGAGGGCTTATTGTGACTTGGGAGAAGCCGGTGTTATTTATTGGTAAATAACAGGTGTGAACAATTTCAGGCTTGACTGTATATTTTTAAAAAGTAGATGACAATTAACTATTAATTAGGGCTGGGCTGATAAATTATGTTATTTTGAATCGCAATAAAATTTATGTCGATAAAAATGATGAGCTCTGGAGTTATTTACTCTATATTGACTGATATTGACACACTGCAGAATTGTACGAAAATGGGAATCTAAAGTGTTATGATATAAGAGATGCACTGAATTTCCGGCCACCGAAAATTTATTGTCTGAAAATATGTTCTGCCATTTAATGGATCCACTAATTTTTGTGGCTTCAGTCATTGTTGGGGTACTCTATTAAATGTGGAAGCATTGACAACGGATATTGAAATATATATTGTTATTATTTAATATGGAAAATAATGATCAAGATTGCATTTTTTGAATAGAATAAAGATGAATGATTTATAATTAAGTTTTTTGTTTTATACATATTTAAGTGTATTTTTAAAATAAAATGTAAAACGAATCTTTTATCAGTGCAAAATTAAATAGGCTTTTAAAAATAAATAACAGTTTTTTTTGAAATTGAATAATTTCTTTAAATATTACTTACAATTATTTAAAAAAGCAATTTAAAAAATATATAATTTTTTTCAATAAAATGTGAAAAAAATTATACAAGATTGAATTTAAAATAAATTAATAAATAAAGAAAAATAAAATGAAATATGTTAATTAGCAGTTGATATATTATATGTTAAAGAAATCAATTATTAAATACAACTTGTCATTAAATATTATATAAAACATACAGTCAAGTCTGAAATTATTCATACTTCTGGCAAATTCTATTCAATTCAATTCATGTTTATTTATGTAGCGCTTTTTACAATTTACATGGTGTCAAAGCAGCTTAATATAGTTTTGGTAAAGTGCAGATTTCAGTGTTGAAGTTCAGTGTGGTTTATTTTTCACTGCTGAAAGTCTAAACACTGAAGAGCAAATTCACCAAAGTGCAGCTTTAAAAGTCCCGATCTGAGCAAGCAGTGGCGAGGAAAAAAAATTCACCAATTGACATAGTGAAGGGGGGAAAAAACTACTAAATTCTAACTTATCGATTTTGTTTAATTGAAAATAAAAGCTGAGAAATCTATATTTAAAGAAAAGTTGATAATATAGTGTATAAATGTAATTTTTCAATGATTTACAATTACATTTTTGTTTTACTAATTTTAAGCTTTTTTTAGAAAAAAATGTACAAAAAAATGTATTTAAAATACAAAATGGTTAAAATATATATAAATATGTATGTATTTCTTTAAGTTTTTATTAAATATTTAATTTATTTAAAAAAAGTAAATATTAAAATAAATAATTTCACTGTTTTATTTTTTATCTAAAATAAAATAAATAATTAAAACAAAATAAAACAGTGAAATGTGAAAACAAAAAGCATTTTACACACAGAATTCAATACAATTTTGAAAAATTAAATAATTATATATAAAACTTTTTTTCCTTTTTTAGAACAATAAAAAATTATTATTATTTTTTTACTTTTTGCTAATTTAATTTGATAAAAAATTATAATCAATTCTAAATTAAAAACAGTGTTAAAAATTAGCCAAAATTTATGTAAATGAATCTACAGGCTAATAGTTAAAGACACATGTCAGTCACGCATAGCAACAAACTTAGTAAAGGTAAAAAAAAAAGTAAAACACAATAATCATATTTACCGGTCCAGTGTTGTTCTGCCAGTTTTCAGAATATTAGCCGCTTGTTCATTCTGAAACCTTAAAAAAATAAAGAAACAGACAAAACATTACAGTTATATTGACATTGTTAAATAATACAGTGGAGGAAGGAATGATTCACCATCCTCTGATTTATTAATTTATTTATTAAATTTTTTTTTAAATTTCCCAAATGATGTTGAACAGATTCAGGAAGTTTTCACAGTATTTCCTATAATATTTTTTCTTCTGGAGGAAGTCTTATATGTTTTATTTCGGCTAGAATAAAAGCAGTTTTTAATTGTTTTAAACCCATTTTAAGGTCAATATTATTAGCCCCTTTAAGCAATATTAGTTTTGGATTGTCTCCTGAACAAACCACTGTTATACAATGACTTGCCTAATTACCCTAACTTTACCCTAATTACCCTAGTTAAATGTCACTTTAAGCTGTATAGAAGTGTCTTGAAGTATATCTAGTCTAATATTATGTGCTTTCATGGCAAAGAGAAAAGAAAACAGTTATTGGAAATGAGTTATTGAAACTGTTATGATTAGAAATGTGCTGAACAAAAATCGTCACTCAAAAAAATCTAAAACATTTTCAATTGAGCAGGCTAATAATTCTGACCTCGGCTGTAATGGTTAATCGATTGTAATGGTTGATCATTGACTAAAGTGATGCATTTGAATGAGGAAACATTCAGGTTAAACAGCGCAGAACAGAAATGCATTGAAGTGCAGTAAAGTTTCATGCTCAGGATTTTGGAAAAACCCCGAAACCCAAACACCAGAGCTAATAATTACAGCTGTGAACAGAAACTAGATAGTTTTTGGGCGGGTTTAATGTTTTTGTACTGAATTCCTGCATTTATAACCGTTGTTGTGCAGCAGATGCTCTTTTATTGATAATAACTACTGCTCTTAATGTGATATTGTTTCCGTCATGCAAGACACACCCAATGGCCTGCTTTGGGAGTATTTATATGCAGGAATAGAGAAGTGAGAGGAAAGAAGTGTGTGTGTGTGTGTGTGTGTGTGTGTGTGTGTGTGTGTGTGTGTGTGTGTGTGTGTGAGAACACAGTCAGCAGATGTTTCCTCACGATTGTTTTCAGACTGACCAAAACCAGAGCTGCATGATACTGAACACATATGCCATATTCAATATTGTTTTCATTTATTCATTCATTAATTTTCCTTCGGCGTAGTCCCCTTATTCATCAGGGGTCACCACAGTGGAATGAACCGCCAACTATTCCAACTTATGTTTTACACAGCGTATGCCCTTCCAGCTAGAGGTCTGCGTGGGACCATTTTTTTAGTACCGCTCCTGCTAGGTTTTATTCCACACCCGACTGCTCCCGCTGCTCCGCGTCTTTGTTCACCCTCTGCCTGCTTAGTATAATTTTCTAGACATCTCCCGCTAATGCGCACCTCTCAATTAATGTTGCTGCACATTGCCACGAGTCAAGTTCTGTGATTGGTCGGCTTGGTAGCATTGATGCGTGTGGGCGGGGCTGAGAGCCGCAGGAGAGCAATGTGTCCATTGGAGGGAGTGTTTTGAGTGACATTTCTACTTTGTGTTTACCTTATGATTAAAGGTAATGCCGATCACTCGACGCAGCCTAGGCTGATTTATACTTCTGCACCCTTCATTCAGCAATCTCTCACTTGGAATATGTGAGCATATTTACTGTACAGAACCTGTCTGTGGTCTATGAGGGCAATAAATAAAATAAAATAATTGTTCATTAATCAAGATTTTGATTTTAGGAAATTTGCCCAGCCCTAATTGTAGGGTAATGTCAGTTTTGTTTGCCCCTTTGTGATGAGACATGAGTGTGTTCCAGTCTTGTGACTGCTAAAGGGTAGTACTTTGTAGTAGGGCTGGGAGATTTGGCAAAAAAAAATCTAGTTTTTTATAAAGTTTGACCGATTCACGATTTTTATTTTTATTTTTTTTATTGTGTTACTAGTCTTCTCAAAACATTAAAACAACATGACTGAAGTAACATTCTCTTTAAAAGTAACTTAAAAAACCATCTAGTTAAGGAACATTGTATTTTTAATGGCCATGTCCTACAAAAATCGGTCAAGGTGTAAATAAATGTAAAACTAATTCACGAGTTAAACATCATTGCTGAAGATTTGAATAAGAAATATTTGTGTAAATATTGCACTTGCAGGAATTCAGGGGTATTTTTGCTAGTTTTGCTGAGCCTAGGAAAGATTGGCTGTCAGCTCGGCTTTGTCTTCTGATTGAATGTCAGGTTGTAAAGCTGCTGCCTTTTCTTAAAAAGATACAGTGGAAGAAAAGGACTGAACATGGAAACTGTAAAGCCTAATTTAACCCAATGTGTGAAGTTGTGGACGTATAGCAGGAGCAAATACAAGCACCAGATGTGTGTCTAATATAAAATAATATATTTAATCTATTTTTATTTTTCCCCCTTTTAAATATCGATCATTTGATGCGCTTTGCTCCACTCTCTGTATTATGCTGCCTGATCTGTCTGGTTTTCAACTAGGTCCGCTAAATGACTTCATGGGGGCGGCTACTTTCATTTTCACTGCTACAGTACCTCACCTCTGCTCGTGTTCAAACCAAAAGATCGGCGCGGCTTTTCACATGGCAGGCTTTTACGTCCTTCATACATGTTGAGATCGAGTTTATCGAGTTGATGAGGGAATGTCTTGACAATCCACACAGACGTGACTCAGACTAATGCAACAAGCAAAATCCTAACGCTTCACGCTTTAACAGGCAGTCAAGCAGGTCGCACACCAGAAGCGCCGCGACACGGTGCGCACATGACAGTTTAAACTATCACACACCAGACGCGCACATTCACATGATATTTGAAGGGCCATGACACCCCCCCACTTTCGTTTAAAGTCTACTTCAGATTTTTAAAAAAATATGCATGATTAATGGGCGTGGAGCTCCGCGAGCATAGGGCAGAAGTGGGCGTGACCAGCAGGGGAGAAAGGGGAGAGAACAACTGTTGATGTCAGTTAGCTCACAAACTGAGACACAAACCGAGGAGACGCATGAGTTTATAGTTTACAAAGTTAAAATGCAAAGAAATAAACAGTAATTTAGTGCCCTGCTACATTTGTTATTTGTAATTTCATATACACATAACCATAATTTATATCATTATAAAGATAATCATGTTCATATAAACACTATAAATGAGCATTTTCCCTCAATCCCCGGGTCTGAATCATAGATCTGAATGCAGACTCAGTGCAGCAGGTCTCCTGACCTGCCTATTTTAACCATTATCCCTGCTGGTAATCTGGAGGATTCAGGCGAACACAGCAGCACGGCGATGTGTCTGAATGTGAACGAACTCCTGATACAAGACAGCGTCCGCCATTCTCCAATTCTCGTACTGCTCTCCCGACAAAAATGCTTGCAGCACACACACAGCTTTGCTGTATGATCGGCCCTGACAGGATCGCGGGGAAAAACATGCAACAAACCCCGTGGATCATGGAAACAAACACATACGAGCCTTCATAAACGGCTACTGCGTGCCATGGGTCCGTGTCTCACAGCTTGAGTGAGTGAATGGCGCATTGGTGCCATTATAATGTATAATATATATATATTTTTAAAAATCGCGATTTCTCTATTTAATATAAAATTAAATCATCGACAAAACGTAAATTCGAATTAATCGAAAAAAGCGGAAAAATCACCCAGCCCTGCCTTGAAGTATTACCACATTGCACAAAAGGTCATTTTTGTTGGCCTTAGTGTACGAGTGTTTGTGTTTGTGTGTGTGTGTGTGTGTGTGTGTGTGTGTGTGTGTGTGTGTGAATGTGAATGAGTGTGTACGGGTGTCTCCCAGTACTGGGTTGCAGCTGGTAGGGGATCCGCTGTGTAAAACATATGTTGGAATAGTTGGTGGTTCATTCCGCTGTGGCGGCTCGTGATAAATAAGGGACTAAGCCGAAGGAAAATGAATGTGCAGTCCTACACAAAACACCAGTGATTAATTGCCTGATTGAGGGCTTTGTCTTTTCCCGTTGTGTTATAATTAGCGAGGAACGTAAACGCACCTTTTTATTCTGTTGAACAGGCTGTCGTCGTTCTTTTTGATGTCTTGAACGATTTTCTGAAGCTGCCTGAAAAACAAAACATCTGTTAATTAAAGCACACTTACAGATGAAGACACAATCATTAGCCTTTTTTTTTGTTTTTATTTTTTTATTAATTGTTAACAAAACATACAGGCTGAAAAAACAATATAATGAAATATATCAATTAAAAAAACCCTCCCTTCCCTGGTGTCTCCCTAACTGGGGTATAGTTAACAGAAAATACAGTGTTTAGTATCAATTATACAAAGCAAGGCAGTCATTCTGGATCCTGATCATTGCTTTGTAAACATGGAGATTTCGTCAGCAGCTGAAGTCCAGGGGCCTCATGTATCAACGCTGCGTACGGACAAAAACTGTGCGTACGCCAGGTTTCACGCTCAGAATCGCTCACGTTTAGATTTACTAACGATGAACTGAACGTGGGAATGTGCGCAGCTCCATGCCAGCTTCATGGCTGGCGTACACACATTTTTTGTGCGTGTCTGTTTTATTTCCATTGGCGACTCCTAGAGGCAGTTGTGTTAAATTGCACTCTGCAAAGTGTCTTCTCAGCTGTATGAGACGAGTTCATCTGCATGTCTAGTATAAAAGGTTTCCGTACCGTACAGTTGACCATCCAAACATTAAAGCGCAGTTTGCAGCGGTCGCCGGTTTTCCCAATGTAATGGGAGTGATCTACTGCACGCACATTTCTATAAAGGCACCATGATCTGAGGATGAATTTGCATGTGTGAATCAGAAACATTTCCATTATATAAATATGCAAATTAAATTTAATGCACAAACTTATTAATGATTCCTACTTGTCTTTCTTATAATGAAGAGTGTATAGGGAAAATCTGATATGTAGCGGGAAAAAACAAACAAAAAAAAGAGTAAGTTCATCAGACGCTGGGTTCGAACCGAGTTTATGCTTGAACGTGTCAAAGCATGTTGCTATGCATTTAACGAGCTACGCCACCCAGACTGTTAAACACACTGCAAAATTTTACACCTATTGATCGCACTAATACTTTTTTAATACACTCAGTGCGATGTTCAGACCCAACTGTGTTAACCGCATCAGCTAAACTCTCCCACTCTATTTTATTCTTTTGTTGTTAATTCCGGAGGACAAACTTGCGAATAAAACAGTTTTCCTCTGGTCTACCTCTGAAAGCAGCACCTCCAATTCACATTCTGTTCAAAGTTTCTCTTCTTGATTTTGCCTTTGCTTTTTCGTTCGGTTTTGCCAAAGTAGAGTCATTAGCATATTCATATGGGGGAGGAGGCAGGGAGGGGTTTTGTGCTCGTGCATGTTGCGCTCACAGGGGATATGCGCCGAATCCCACGCATATTCTCTTTGTACATCTGTAAAACTGAGCGCAACATGCACGAGCACAAAACCCCTCCCTGCCTCCTCCCCCGTATGAATATGCTAATGAGTCTACATTTACAGCTTTGTGCGTACGCAATGTTTTAGTATGATTTCCCCGCAAGTCTTCCTACATGAGGCCCCTGATATTTAAAGTGCTCATTTGTACCAAGTGCACTCGAGCTGTGGATAATTCCAACATTATAATGTCCGGAAGTTGTACCACTTGTACATGTCCAACTTATGTGGAGGCAGGCAATGTTGGGCTGGTGTTTTTAAGCAGAAGTTAAGCCAGCCAGCCAAACAGCTGTTTATAGTTGAGTGAGCTTCAACATAGAATCATCGCTCAGTAATAGAATGGAGGGATTCACTGGCACAGGATATTCAATCATTTTAGACAAGATAAGACAGACCTCATTCCAAAACTGTTGTATTGTTCCACATTCCCACATCATATGGAAAAAAGATGAAGCCTCATTTTAAACATGTAACTCAAACGGCCTTTATCATCTTCATAATATAGCCCGCTAACGTTCTTTTCTCTCGAGGCCTGATGCTGAAAGACTCGTGCTTTTATCACGTCTTGCTTGAATTTTTGCAATTCCCTGTTAGGAGGGTTACCAGCAAATTCTCTTAAGGTTTTTCAGTACGTCCAAAATTCTGCTGCACGTGTGTTGACACACACATCATGTCAGTCTCACATCACTCATATACTCTAACTCTCTCTGGCTGCCCGTCAAGTCTCGTATTGATTTTAAGACATTGATTTTAACTTATAAAGCGGTTCATGGTTCTGCTCCAGGTTACATTTGTGATCTGAAACCTATTTCCTTTGCCTCTCGCTGTCTACGCTCTGCCTCGAGTCTTACGCTGTTTCAGCCTCGCTGCAAACTCAGCACCATGGGAGGCAGGGCGTTTCTTTCCGTGTCCCCAAACTGTGGAATTATCTTCCCTCAAACATTAGGAATGCCGGATCATTGGACGCTTTTAAAAAGCAACTTAAAACTCATCTTTTAGGACTGTTTTTAACTTTTTTCTTTACTGTATTTTTATTGTTTACTGTGCTTTGTTGGTTTTACTCTCTTGTAAGCGCTTTGGGTTTTAGAAAAGCGTGTTATAAATAAAATACATTATTATTATTATTATTATTATTATTATTATTATTATTATTATTATTATTATTATTGTTAAGACCCAAGTTTCTGGGGTCCGTTCTTCGTACGTGGATTACTCAGTTAGCTGGATTTGGATATTGACGATTTGACACGATCCAGGATCGTTTCGGTCTTCAAAGCTGATCTGAGAGTTGTTGTCATAGCAACAGTTCTGCTAGCTCAAACCTGATCGGGAGCAGGTTCAATTCATATAAACAGGATTAGATTGGCTCAGTTCAAGCAAATATAATACAGAAAGTATGTTCCCAATTCTTGTATTTTCTTACAGTAGTAGTTATATACACTTTGGAAAATGGTACATATTTTTTAATTATATATATATAAAGTTATATTCATTAATTAAATAAATAAAGTTATATATATATATATTAATAAAACGTATGCAATCTGCACCCTCGAAATGAAAGTACAAAGACTGCTATCTGGTGGTGCAAAGAGAAAACTTATTGATATGAACTTTTTAGATCGCTTTAGTACAAATTGTGTATAATAGAAATGCACAATATGTGACTTTTTTAAAAGCAATAATACATTTATGCAGTCATAAACATGTTTTGATAGTTAATATGACAGTGATTTGATGCTTTGATTCTTTACATGGATTAAAAAAACGGCTACTATAATAAAGAAAATCTTTTCTTCTTCTTTTCATTGTTTTGCTTTGAAATACATGATGAATACTCTCGACACATGAAAGTGTAAAGCCTGCAGCTCACAACAAATGTGAAAGGGTTTTGCGTGTCATATTTAACAAGCCGTTTACTGCTAATTTGATGTAATTTAGCTCACATGGATAATTGAATATTAATCAGATGATGTCATTATGCAGCTGTGCCGTCAGCCAATCGTTGCATTGCTGATCATGATTTCGAGGATGGATAGATCTGTCCTTCACAACACACACAGCGATCTCAGATCAGTTCATCCAGACATTCTAATCTGATTCGCAAACTTGTTTGAAGAACCAAATAAGCGAGAGATCAGTTATCAAGATTAAAAGATCCAGGATCTGCCAAATAATCTTAGATCTTTTAAGCGAGGTACGAAGAACGGACCCCAGGCCAGAGGCTTCTGAGTGGGGTCCAGTAGGTTCTATGACAAAAGTTATAGTGAATGAGTTGGTGGTTAGGATTTTTGGATGAAGTAAAATGTACCCTGGTGATTTTTACAGAGAGAAGATATATACAGGTGAAGTCAGAATTATTAGCCCCCTGAATTATTAGCGCCCCTGTTTATTTTTTTCACCAATTTCTGTTTAATGGAGGGAAGATTGTTTCAGCACATTTCTAAACATAATAGTTTTAATAACTCATCTCTAATAAATGATTTGTTTTATCTTTGACATGATGACAGTTAATAATATTTTACTTGATATTTTTAAGACACTTCTATACAGCTTAAAGTGACATTTAAAGGCTTAACTAGGTTAATAAGGTGAACTAGGCAGGTTAGGGCAATTAGGCAAGTCATTGTATAATGATGTTTGTTCTGTAGATTGTTGAAAAAAAATAGCTTAAAGGGGCTAATACTTTTTTGTCCCAAAAATGTTTTTTTTTTTTTAAATTAATGACTGCTTTTAATCTAGCCAAAATAAAACAAATAAGACTTTCTCCAGAGGAAAAAATATTACCAGACATACTGTGAAAATTTCCTTGCTCTGTTCATCATTTAGGAAATATAAAAAAAAAATAAAATAAAATCAAAAGGGGGCTATTAATTCTGACTTCTATATATATATATATATATATATATATATATATTAGGGTTGGGCATCTAAGCTATAATGCCGATCCGATACGCATCTCTATATACAAGGAATACGATCCGATATATTAGTGATACATTTATGACATATTGCGATGCAACACGATACGATTCACACCCATATCACGATACAATGCGATATTTCAGCACTAACTTATTAGATCAAGTTTATGAGATGATGTGAAAGAGGATGCTGTGCCATTGAATGAGTTTGATTATTTATTAACCAAGCAAAACCAAGACTTTTTTTTACAAACTGGCTCTTCTCTCAGAGCCAGAGTGTCAGTTTACAGTAGAGGGCCATTTTAGAACATATAGCACATATTATTTAAGTATTTTCAAGATAAACAGAATGTATAAGTGCAATATATATTAAAAATATGTATATATTTGCACTCTTTCAACATAAAGGTTTACCATTGCACAACAAGAATTGTGATTTAACTTTTCAACTATGAAAACAAGTTTAACAAAGATATATTTTGCCACCATTATTTTGTCATTATTATTATTAATATTATTATTATTATTATTATTATTAAATAAAAATTAACAGGAGGAGGTGTTTAAAACCTTCGTTCTCCGTGACACTAGGCTGAATATCTTTGCAGATGAACAATGCAATAGCATTCGTTATTGGCGTAGAGCGCACAAAACTGTTGCGCACAGAAAAAAAAATTGCAATGCTTTTCTCACCACTTTTGGAGCTGGTTGAAGCAGTGCGAAAGCCG